TGTGCTGTGTTTTTAAAAATAGGATCGAAGTTTGCTGATATGTTTATTTATGATTCTTTAAATTAAAGTAATGCAAACTTGCGCAATCCAATTAAAATCTACACGTGTCATTAATGCATGTTTTGCGATAATTTTGCAATGTTTGATCTGAATATTGACAGATTAACTGATGTATTGAGTTGACAGGAGAGTGGACTATAGTAAGCAGATATAATATAGTGCTAATGCACAAGTATCTGATTTTGATATATCTTGTATTATCAAGCACAGATCTAGCTTATTGTTGATTAGTTTGTGGGTTTTCAATGTTTTGGTTTCGACAGATTTTTAAGATCTAGATTCGATATATTAAAAGAAATAGCATAGTAAATATTAACAGCTGATTTAATTATGGCTTTGTTGAAGGTTAATTCAACAATATCATTTTTGAATAAAATAGTCTAAATTAGCTTTGAGTTTGAATTTGTTGAATTTGGTGAGTTTATTGTTTGAAATTGTGTTAAATCTTTGTCATTGTAAATGACTGCATTTAGTGCGCTGGATAAGATTTGCTTTTGTCGTTTGCAAACATTTACTTCATTTGTTTAGAAGTGGATTGGTAATTTTTCAAAACTTAAATTGTTGTATTTTGTCTCATGATGTTCTAAATTAAGATCAATAAAATTAACATTACTAACTCGTCGAAAGACGATGAGGAATAGAGATATTGCAATGTCAATGCATTGACGACTTTTTTTAAATCTAAAAAAATCAATTAATATCAGTAATAAGAGACCCGGTTTATCTTACATTAATTTCTAGTGCTTACTTGCAATTAATATTACATACAAAGTTTTCAAATAGCCTTAAGCTGCAACTCCATCTTGATTTAATGTTTAAGCATGAGGCTATCATTAATTAATCGTATAAAATTTATTCATACTTCTTTAAGATTTCATTTCCAAAATGTTTTATTTAAATGGAAAAGGTGGATGTCATTATGCTCGAAAAATTAACATACTACAATATAGATATTATTTGTAATTATCCATAAATATACATTTTATTCCACAAGACTTAAAATGGAATTTTATTTGCATAATGTAATAATAAAAAAATTCTTTTGAGAATTTCACAGGCACGATGAATCTATGAAATCATTTGCTTCCACAATTTAAATTAAAATTCTTCATTCATGCTTCTTTCTTACACTTAAAGATCATTCGTATGTGTTTTTGTGCCATATAATCATAAAAAAAGGCAAAAAGTATTATAAAGCTATTCCTTTTGTTTAAAAATGCACTTAAAGCAATTGTTCATGATACTCTTAACGTAATTAACACATTTAAGCTATTAAAATTTTCGAAAATAAAAATTACTTATACTTTATGTTAAATTTAAGACCTAATAAAATTCAGCTGCAATTAAAGCCGAAAATTGTAAAAAAATGCGACTGCATATTTTTCTGTTTTTGCATATATCGTGCAGGTGGAACTACACATAATATTTTGATGACTTTTTTTTGTTTTAATTGTGTTCTAACATGACTCAATTTTTTTTTTTGTTAATAACAAGGAACCCACAAGAAATTCACCTGTAAATTAAACTTTGAATAATAATTATGAAATATTCGATTAAAATGAAATAAGAGTGGTTTTTAAAATAACTCATTAATAATTAAGTACATGCTTTATGTAAGCGAATATTTTTGAGAATTTTTCGCATCTACTTTGAAATTATAATTCAACTAATTAGTTTAATTGTATCAAGGCGGAAGTTTTTCTAATCCCTTTTGCTTGCTGCAATTAAATTCGATTCTCTTCTCTTTATTATCGGTTATAAAAAAAAAACGAGGCGCGACACTTGACATCGTTGATTTTTTGTGATACTACAATGCCGACGTTTTAGTGAGAATACAATTAATAGCTAGTTTCAATATGTGAATGACATTTTCATCTACTCTATGCTTTTTAATGTCAGTTTTCACGAAAGACTACAACATGCTCATAAAACACCAATTTTTAAAAAATTACAATTATGAACGTAGACTTTTCTGAACAATGAATATGCATTTTGAAGCTAGAGAATCTCAAAATGTTTTAGAAGTTGATATTTTTTTTCTCAAAAATAACGGTTTCATATTCACACAAAATTTTCAATTTTTGTGAATATATTGTTTTTGGTTTTTCGGAAAATCAGTTTTTTAACTTTCTGCTTCAGGCTTACGGAATCAACCCAAATACCTGATATGTAAAAGTTTGTGCCTCGAAATACCTATCTAATGGTGAAAACAATTTTTCATTTGGCAGTTCCAGTTCCGAGATATTAAGAAATATTAAGACTTTCGGTTTTTTGCTTCTGATAGATAATGGCTATCGCAAGAACTGTATTGTTTTTGGAGTCATAAGATGCTTCTAGTGAGGCACAAGATGGATAAACATGTTTGTATGGAAAAAGTTTAACCGATTATTACATAACATATTTTTTTTTTGTTTACAACGGAAATATTTGTTGGTAGTAGTTTGATATTAATAAAATGGTTGTGACAGTATGCATTAATTTAAATGTATGTGAAAAAATTTTGGAACTAGCGAGCACTAGCGAGTTCCTTCACAAGATTCAGCTTACTGGATCTATGTTATTGAATACATACTTTACTTGTATCATAATGGAAATATGTTTTTGTTTCCAGCATTGATTTTTTTCTTGCTTTATACTTACTGGATCTTGGTTCCAACGATAGCACAATTTCAATTTCAATTTTAGTGGACTGGATTTAAATTTTAATGACAAATTAAATTATTTAACCAACTTTTCACAATGATCTCTCAATTTCAACAAATTGTCAAAGCCCACTAAGAAATTTTTCTTATTTCTTAATTATAAAAAAATTTAAATTGAAATTGAAATTGTCAAAGCCCACTTAGAACTTTTTCTCAAATTTTACTGGATCATGGTTTCAAGTTGCAGACATGACTAAAACTTTACTGGATCTTGGTTCCAAGTTTCAGACATGCTTAATACTTTACTGGATCTTGGTAATTTGTTGCAGATATGATTAAAACTTTACTAGATCTTGGTTTTAAGTTACAGCCATCATTAAAACTTTACTGGATCTTGGTTTATTGCTTCAGACATGATCAAACCTTTACTGGATCTTGTTTTTAAACCTCAACCATGATTAAAACTTAACTGGATCTTGGTTTATTGTTTCAGACATGATTAAACCTTTACTGGATCTTGTTTTCAAGTTTCAAACATAGTTAAAACTTAACTGGATCTAGGTTTATTGTTTCAGACATGACTAAACCTTTACTGGATCTTGGTTTTAAGCTTCAAACATTCTTAAAACTTTATAGGATCTTGGTAATTTGGTGCAGACGTGATTAAAACTTTACTAGATCTTGGTTTTAAGTTTCAGATATGATAAAAACTTTACTAGATCTTAGTAATTTGTTGGAGACATGATTAAAACTTTACTTGATCTCGGTTTTAAGTTTCAGACATTCTTAAAACTTTACTGGATCTTGGTAATTTGGTGCAGACATGATTGAAACTTTACTGAATCTTGGTTTTAAGTTTCAGACATGATTGAAACTTTACTAGATCTTGGTTCCAAGTTTCAGATAAGCTTAAAACTTTACTGGATCATTGTAATTTGTTGCAGACATGATTGAAACTTTTCTGAATCTTGGTTTATTGCTTCATACATGATTTAACCTTTACTGGATCTTGTTTTCAAGCTTCAGGCATGATTAAAACTTAACTGGATCTAAGTTTATTGCTTCAGACATGATCAAACCTTTACTGGATCTTGTTTTTAAACCTCAGACATGATTAAAACTTAACTGGATCTTGGTTTTAAGTTTCAGACATGATTAAAACTTTACTGGATCTTGATTCCAAATTTCAGACATGATAAGAACTTTACTTGATCTTGGTAATTTGTTGCAGACATGATTAAAACTTTACTTGATCTCGGTTTTAAGTTTCAGACATTCTTACAACTATACTGGATCTTGTTTTCAAGTTTCAGACATGCTTAAAACTTTAATAGATCATTGTAATTTGTTGCGGACATGATTAGAACTTTACTTGATCCAGGTTTTAAGTTTCAGACATGATTAAAACTTTACTGGATCTTGATTCCAAATTTCAGACATGATAAAAACATTACTGGATCTTTGTAATTTGTTGCAGACATGATTAAAACTTTACTGAATCTTGTGTTTAAGTTTCAGTCATGGTTAAAACTTTACTGGATCTTTGCTTCAAGCTTCATAATTAAAATTTTACAGACTTTTGGTTTTGAGTTCTAGACATGGTTAGTTTTGGATTCTTGGTCGATACATTTAAAAATCCAATACGATCTGTAACCTATAAACCTACTGTAATCTTTAAACAGTTGAACGTAACGAAGTGCACGCAAGGCGTGAAAATTTTACCCGTTTTAAAAATTCTTATAATACTTATAAGTAAAAAAATCTCAGATTTCAATAGCACACAAGTTGCAAAACTATCTTAGACTGTAAGCTATATTGAAATCGGATCTACATAAAAAACTATCTGAGAGCATTAATTTGAGTGATTTTTCAATTTCATGATCTATCGTTTACTAAGTGTGAAAGTCAATGATTTTCGTTGTAAAACGTGTTTTTAATGCGTGGTATACTTTGTTGATAATACAGCAAAATGTTGATATTAAGTCTTACATTTTTTTGAGAGAAGATTTTTCAAGATTTTCTGAACAATACATAGAGAGTTCTATAGGATTGTGTGAATATTCCCATGAAGCGTGATCGGCTTCATTACTAGTTTAAACTTTCAAATTGAAATAATGTTTGAGATTTAAATAATATCAGTTGAGCCAATATATCCATAAATCCTTTTTGCATTGGTTTTTGACTTACTTAATAAAAACTTGAGTCTTTCTAATAATCACATAATACTTGCAGATACTGAAGTATATTACTGAATAACCACTGAAAGCAAACGATATTAAAGAACAGTAAAAGTAATTTCTAGGATAATTCATTAAGGATATATTTTTCTCATAGATTCTCCGCTTTTATTGAATCTTATTGTACGAGTTACAATCTTTCAGCAAATAATTTATGCATTAACTTTAACTTCATTTTCTGATGTGACAAATCCGAAATTCTTAAGGATGGTATTCTGTTTCTTGATTCCCTTTGAAACTTTCTGTGTTGCGCGTAAGCGAAGTTTCTGAAAATAAAAATGAGGAAAATATATAGTAAAATTGCTTTACAATAGCCGCAGTAAATATAATAACTTACAGCTAATCGCTGTTTATGAGCATAATGCAAGCGAGCTTTGATCTTTCTCTTAGTTTCAAGAGTATTGACGACATCTTTGTATTGCCAGCCGACTTCATGTGCAACGCGTCCAACTTGACAATATTTACGGTCTGATCTCAAGCATAAGATTTTCATAGCAAGTGGAACACAAACTCTCTTTTGTTTGTCATATGGTGGAGGAATTCCCTCAAATACCTTAAGGCGGGCCAAAGCAAGCTTTCCACGACGTGTCTTGTATGGTACCATACCTCTGACTGCTTTCCAGAACATACGACTGGGAGCTCTAAAATGGAATGGACCACGAGCTGGATTTACATTACAGCGCTTTCTTAAGAACGAGAGAAACTTTATTTTGTTGCTGAAAAAATAAAGAAAATTTATCGTTAATTCCAATTTCTAGCATAAAATAATCGTATGGTTGTGCAGGATTTATAATCAGTCCAAAGGTAATATCATTGTTTAAATCATACAATGTAGGTAAGTACTGGTAATCATCATTATAAGATCCAGTAATGCACAAATAGTATTCACATTTAAACTCACCGGAAGAAATGTCCTGATAATTGCAAGTCCTCACAACGAACGATGACAACCTTTGTGCCATTCAATATTTGCTTAGAAACGATTGATGCCAATCGTCCTAAAAGATGACCACGGCCATCAATGACAATAGCCTTAAAATAAAAGAGATAATATAAGTTTATTTACAGAATCAATTTGTAGGTTATATGGCTCAAAAAAATTAATATTATAGTAAGAACTCAATAGTTGTGCATGTTTAAGCTATAAATGAGCATCAATTTTATGTGCTCATCATTGCCACATTATGAATGTTCCTTAATTTTAAATATGAAATCATTATCCACGTTTTGTGAGGGAATAACAAAACTCACAATGTATTTTTTCAAAATTATTCATATTTTGTGTTAATTTCACTATAATTAGGGCATTCTTGAATATAAAATCACTTTAACTAATGAGTTCTTTAATAATTTGAGCCAAAAACTTTGTACAAATCACTTAAATTAATTATTTTTGTTACCTTATTAGAGAATTTGTATGACATTTTCTCTAGCGAAATTCAAAAAGAAAGAAATTAGCTTGGTTCGTTTTCGCGTGGAAGTTAATTCAGCGCTTTCAAGTGCCGCGTCAAAATTTCAAACTATCAAAGATCGTTCATAACTTTTATGCTCATAGAAGCTTGACATTTAAGTTGAGGATGTAGAAAAGGATTCTCTAATCGTTGGCTTAATATCAACTTGATTGAATTAATTAACGATTGAGTTTAAAAAAATTTCTGCGAGCTCTGCTTTAGACTTATACTCTATGTTCACTTATTACGTTACGCAAAAAAAACGACTTTTTTCACCCCCCGTCCCCTCTTGTTACAATATGTTACAACTCACAACCCCCCCCCCCCCCCCTGAACGTTCATAATTTATTTTATTTATATTCACACCGTTTTCACGTGTGAATCTATTGGTTTTGTTCAGATTGAAAAATCAGTTTTTAGAATTTTGTGAGGATATGGAGCAAGATAACTTAAAATGTTCAGAGATGAAAAGTTTGTGCCTTGAATTTCACATCTTTTGCAAAAAACAGATTTCAAATTGGTTGCGGCATTGCTGAGAAAATCGCAAAATATGCTTTCTGTAAGCAAGCAAACAAGCAAACAAGCAAGTTAATCAGCAAGAAATCTCAATAACGAGACATCGTAGAGACTTCTAGTTTTTTAAATTTGATCCGTGCTGCTCTATAAAAGAGCTGTATTGTTTTTGGGCAAGGTAGGAACAGCCGTTGCTTCAGAAAAAGCAAAAAACTTTCCTTTCTTACGAATTTTTTAAAACAAAAGTTGACTGTGATTTTTATAAAATTCAAGTTTGGATGAAATTTTTTTTTAAAAAATTTTAAAGAATATTTGGCATATTCGTCAAGCTTTATACCAGAGATCGAAGCCGATTTTTTCGGCTTAACTCAACTTTTGATTTTTTTGATAGAAAAAAGCTATTTAACACACATTTCAAGTATTGATATTGGACTTTACATGCTTTACTATGATTTTGTGTAATATTTTGTCAGCATGTAGCTATAGTAAGCTCAGAATTTCAAGTTAAACGATTTTAAGCTGAAATTTAAGCCGATCGGCTTAAAATCGGCTAAATTGAAATTCTGAGCTTACTATAGCTACACGCTGACAAAATATTACACAGAATCATAGTAAAGCATATAAAGTTCAATTTAAATACTTAAAATGGTAGTTAAATGGCTCTTTTCTATCAAAAAAATCAAAAATTGAGTTAAGCCGAAAAAATCGGCTTCGATCTCTGCTTTATACCTTCAAACGTATGCTGAGCATAGCTCAGCTGACTCGATAGCTTTACATATATCTTCAAACTTATGCTGAGCGTAGCTCAGCTGACTCGATAGCTTTATATCTTCGAACTTATGCTGAGCGTAGCTCAACTGACACTCTAGCTTTATATCTTCAAACTTATGCTGAGCGAAGCTCAGCTGCCACTCTAGCTTTATATCTTGAAACTTATGCTGAGCGTAGCTCAGCTTACGCGATAGCTTTATAACTTCAAACTTATGTTGAGCGAAGCTCAGCTGCCTCTCTAGCTTCGTATCTTCAAACTTATGCTGAGCGAAGCTCAGCTGACACTCTAGCTTTATATCTTCAAACTTATGCTGAGCGAAGCTCAGCTGCCTCTCTAGCTTTATATCTTCAAACTTATGCTGAGCGTAGCTCAGCTTACGCGATAGCTTTATAACTTCAAACTTATGCTGAGCGAAGCTTAGTTGACTTATCAAGCTTCATACCTTCATACTTATGATGGGCAAATCTTGGTCTATCCATAAGACTTATGATAGTACGGTGTGAATATAATCCGCATTGGGTTTCTACCCGATACACTAGTTTTGATAATTTGTTATTCTAAAAAGACGGTTAAATTCAGTTAAATTCTTTTGTATTTTTTTCTTAAACATCAAAATACTGTACAACTATGTAAATAGGTCATGTTTTAATTGATACTATTAGTATTTTCATGAATTATTGGATTGTGATATAAAGCAAAAATTTGTTTTTTTTTGAAGAAAATTCAAAAATATTATGCCCGATCGAATTTTGGAAAATTCAATCTATTTTGAATGTAAATATCACAATGATGGGATCATATTAATCATCATATGAATGACAGATTTAGAGAGATTTACTTTTAAACTTATGATTGATTTAATTTTGAAAATTTCCACAAATTATGATTGTATTTTAAAGTCTTGTTAACTAGTTTTCTTTTGATTTGTTATTTTATATAACAAAAACTATGTATTGCTTATCTATCAAAAGTGATCTGGACATTTATAAATCATTAAAAAGGTGGAAAATTTAAAAAAATGTTTTTGGTGTGAATTTGTAAACAAATTTTTTTCGTGAACTTTTTTTTTAAGACAGATGACAATTAGAACGTTACATACTTCTTGACCCCCCCCCCCCCCCTCCTATGTTACATTTTGTTATAATTTTTCAAACCCCCCTCCCCCCTAAAGTGCGAACGTAATAAGTGAACGGCCTCTATAGAAATATAAGCCGTTAAAAAACCAATCACGTGTTCGATTGACGACAAATGCATTTGCATGAGACGTTACAATAAACTTTAATGCGACATTAAGTGATGAAATTCTAATCATATATAGAACCAATAAAAGCTTGGAGAATGGAACCAACAACGTATTTGTTGTGATACCAGTCGACTGCAGTCTCATGTATTTTTCTCTAAAAATATCTTTTTGAGAAAATTGAGGAAAAGTTCTCAGTTGAAAATCATCTGGTGAACGAGACGGATCTCTAAAATCGAACTGAAATTAACTGAATAAAAAATCGTGCCAATCGTAGCGTAGATATTTGAGTGTATATTACTGTACAGTTTGACAACATTCAATTGAATGCAATTAAGAAATCAAAATATGAAATATTGTTAAAACAAAATAAAGTAAAGTGAAGTAAAATGAGCTATTTTAAGCTTTTAGCATACTTATTTTATCCCAGTATTTCAACTTGATCAATTGGAATCGTATTTCTTTCTCTCTATTCTAAATAACGATGTGAATTTTAATCAAGAGGAATTTTCATTTCATTTCATTTCATTTTCTTTTTTATTACGTAGTTTTTCCTTCATTTTTACTACTTGCTCTTAATTCTATCATAATACATCTTTTCTTATGCTTATTTTTTTTCTTATAGCATTTTCGTATCTCTTCTTCGACTACTTACTAATTTTCATATTGAATGCGTTAAAAATAGATGACAAGTATTTTACAGTATAAACAAATGTTCCTTTATTTAAAAGGCGTGTAGATGGAATTCATTTTAAACAAAAAGAAAGTGTGATGTGGAATTCCGATTTCTCATAGACGCATGTGTTGTATATCTATGCAAAAAAAATATATATAAATTAGTCATATGGTTGTTACTTTAAAGCATTTTTAATTAAGTCTTTAGGACAACAATAAATTAAATAAATAAACTAAACGTAATTAAGTGTTGGAAAATTAATATCCTAATAAAAACTAGTGCTGATCGCTCTCTATCACTGTGCTCTGTGCTCCTCCTATCTTCTCTTTCTCTTTCTGAAGTAATTATTAATTATTGTTATTATTAATGTACAAAAGAAACAACATGCTGCGGGAAAAAAGGAAACATGCTAATTACAAGCCTAATAGAAGGTAAATATTTTTATGAATTTATAATTTATGTCTCCGTTTACAGCCACGAATAAAAAAAAAATTGTGTGAAAAACTCTCAAAACATTTCAAACATCATAAAAATCAAGTTGAAACTCATAAATTGTAAGGCACAAATAGCGCACATAATGATCATAATCGAACGTCATCATAACATTTCATATCAAAGAAATTGTCTAATTAACGATAATGTGTTTCAAGTGTGGATAGACCTTAATTTCCCCAGCCAAATTCTGTTTTCGGTCAAAATAGCTTTTGTTATTCCTGACTTTTTTTTTTCTTCTCTATTTAAATGTGATTCTCTATTTGTGGATCATTTGTAAAGAATGTGTAACTCAGAGAGGATTTTAAAAATCATTTTACCGTCCTTCCAATACGAAATTTTAAATGCATTCTTCAACAGCTTCAGGCTGTTCACTTATGAGGCCCAACATTGATAAGAGAAGAGTAGCTTTATGAAAATTAAATCAAGATAACTTATTGACTTCATTGGAAGAAGTAATTCCGATCGAAACAAGCCTCCATGAAATATTGAATTAATCACGCTGTGAATGAAACTAATGAATGAAAATAAAAGTCGATTTCCTTCAATTTAAATAGTCAAAAAGTCATTAAAAGTCTCATATTTCTAAGAAAATCACCGAAGGTGTTCAAGAGATAGATAGTGTCGACAGAAATGCAATGTTTATTTTATATTTTTGATTTCCAAAGAATTTTAAACAGGTCATTGGAAAAGTGCGTCTTAGTCATACACCTACGTCCTAGGATTTAAAATAGCTATTTACACAACAACCTTACAGAAGTTTGTTTTCTTTTCGAGCAAAAATTAATCATAATTCTAATGAAAGCTCAAATGTAAACATTTTGTGATGTTTAACGAACCAAGCAAACGCAAAACATTCATGTACCATAATCATGTACAACAAGTACGAAATATGTGGAAAAGCAAGCATGAAGTTTTTATATTTTTAAGATAATTAAATTAAAACTTAATGACTTTACGGGTTGCGCTGGGAGTGAGGGATTTGTTGTGTAATATATTTACGTAAAAATCATCATGCTAAGATCCAAATGGAATAAGGAAAAAATACATTTATGCGTATCTATGTGCTATATAGGCTTGATGCAAAATCTAGTCGGGGAATGATCTATGAGAATGAAGAGCTAAGGATTAGAACTATAAATATTAATGCAGAAGTTGAAAAAGGTACGATCTCTTTGTACTTCTTACAGGAAGAGATTAATAATATTTAATCTTTTTATTCTTTTGTCTACATATCACTTTGTGGATGTAATAAAAAATGGAATAATGAACGGATAGGTCAATCTGAAATAAAAACCTTAAAGCGAGAGAGGGAGCAGTTGAGGAGAGAAATATGGACGTTGCGGGATGAATATGATAAATTGGAAAATTTGCTACGTATCAAAGGCATTGATCCAGATGAGTTTCTTAATTCAAACCAAGATCGGAATGAAAATGTGGAAGAAGATAATCAGTCTGAATGTAGCGAATGCTCATGTGAAAGCTGCTGTGATGATGATTGTTGTGAGAATGAAAAATCCGAGCCAGCATCAACAGAGAATATGAAAAACAATGAAAATGTCGTTAATACAGAACGTGGAGAAGGAGCATCATCATCGAAGCTATCGTCAGATACTTCAAACGATGAACATGTAAACATAAATCCAAAACGCGGAGGGAAGGAACGACTAAATGTACGAATCTCTTTTGTTTATTGCATACTTTTGTCTATTTCACTTAATGTGTAATTTATTGTACTGAATCCTCGTAGCTGAATTTTGATCATCTTTCTGTTGTTACCGAAGAGAGTTCTGAGGGAAATTCGTTGACGCAAAATGAAGACACTTCCATTCCAATTAATGATTTATCAGCATTTTTACACAAAGTAGATGCATTAAGTTCTTTAAGTTATTTGCAAAAATTAAGTCCTCCGCTTGCACATTTTGAAAATCTTCCTTATGATAAAATTGGCGGATCTGTTGGTTAGTAGTTGAGCTTACTTCCATCTGCATATTGTAATGACGCTTATTATTTTAAAATAGATACACAAGGAAATGTTCTAGCTATTTGTGAGGAACATTCAATACCAAAAGCTGTTACTATTCGAGAAATATCCGAAGTTACAATTCCTAACCCGATTGTAGCGAATCAAGGAATTCCAGCACCAAAAAAGCAATCTCGATTAAAACACTTTTTCTCGCCTATACGAAAAAAAGCACCTCCTCAAATTAGTCAGCCTGATGTTTTCATTAGTAACGTGATTCCCAATAATTTACCAATTGTCCCTATCGAGACTATTCCAAACAATACTAATTATAAAGCTGCTTCAAAAGAAATTACTGAAAATCCGATCTTGAATCCTGTTGTGTCTTCATCATCGTCATCCTTTCAGGTATCACTTAATTCATTAAGTAGCTAATCATATTATTAAAATTTAAGTTTTCATTTAATAGACTGGTGGAAATCTTGAGGAACTGCTATATGACATAGAAAATTTATCAAAAGATATTATGGAACTGCAAACACATTGTGCTGATATGCCTTCAGAGCAAAAAGAACCAAACAATAATAACAATACGAATTTTACGAAACCAAAGCCTTTCCGGTCTGAATTATCTTTAGTCCTTTCATATCCACCTGAAATACAGTCTGATTATAAAGAAACAGGAACGCCTAGTACTATGCCAATTTCAGAACTAGACAGTCCGAATCTTTTTTACATGCAGAATCTCCCATCCCCTTATCCTACATATCCATCATCCCCATTGACACCTCCTGTAAATTTCAAAACCGGTGAAATCAATCCAATAAATTATGTTCCTGATCGAATGCAAGACTTTTCACACCTAAATTTTGCCCCTCTAAATAGCTCAATTCCACCATTTCAAACATCATCAAACAGCTCATTATTTTGTACAGTCTCCGCGCCATCAACACCAGCATTTGACAGAAAATGTATAGAAAAGTTCTGTTCGACAGAAATTACACCAAATGGAATCAAGGATGATAAGAAAAAGGCAAAACGTGTCTCGATTGTAAATGTATCCGATAGTAGTGAAAAACCTAGTCAAAATACAGCAAATGAGGATGAAGACTCTAAAGAATCTGAAAAGAAAACGGAACCAAATTCAACAGGAAATTCACATCATTCACACATTCACAAAAATCATAGTCATTCGCATTTACATACGAAACGACGAATGAGTTTAGACAACAGTACTCCAGTAATTAATTAATCTGTAAATATTTGGGGAGGGCCATAAATTTTGTGAAAAATGCTCTAGTCAAGTGTTGAAAAGTTCAGTATTAGTGATCAAAAGGCAACGTCCTGTAGCTGACGCCAAACAATTTTATGGCCATCTCCATTGGGGCCATCCACTTATTACGTAACGCTTTTAGGTGGAGGGGGGGTCTAAGATTTTGTTACGATTCAAACAATGAATTTTTTTTTTCATACAAATTTTGTTACGAGGGGGGGGGGTCTAAGAAGTCATTTTTTCGCGTTACGTAATAAGTGAACAGCCCCATTCGAATTTCCCAGAAAACTAATTAAAATAAATCTTTACAGCAATCGAATAAGCACAAAAATCACCGACAACTTAGTCAAGATTCAAAAGTGAGCAGAAAGGAAAGTAATCGATCTACAAATTCATTTAAAAAGCGATCTCGGTCTGATAGTGCATTCGGTCACGCGGATAATGAAGGTACGTCAATGTCTGAAAGATACAGCAACAGTATAGCATCGTCTAGAGAGTCATCAACAAGTTTGAGTTTAAAGTCTGGAAAACGTCGATTATCGATAACATCGTACGGAGGATCTAAGAAAATTCCATGGTAACATATTTATAGGAAAATTTGCAAATTATTGTTCTAACCATTCTCTTAAATGTTTTGTTTTCAGGGTAATGTATTTTACATTAATTGCTGTTTATTTTCATAACGTTTTGCCTTTATTTCTTTTCTTTTTTTTTGTGTTCATATTGACAGTGCGGTTGTTGGGGCAATAGTTGTATTTAAAAGCACAAACTGCAATAAAAATTTGTTACATATTAAAAAGAATAGCTGAGAGTATCGAGATATATGGATGCTTTTTACAATTGATTTATTGGAAAGGAATCCGTATATCTTGATCGGAATTGAACAATTTCCTCATTCACTATTTCAGTTTATTGCCTTTTTTCTCTTTCCAATTAGAAAACTTTCTTAAAGCAGTGTCAATAAGTAAATTAAGATGAGACATTAATTGAGAACCGAGTGGAGCTAAATCTCGAATAATTCGATCTTCAAAGGGCTTAACTTTTGACATGTTAAATCTCTGTATTGTGTCATGCATCTTTACGACTTTCGCTTCCAAATCAGCATTTATTGGCGGAAAGCAGAGCCAAAATTCTTTTAGAAGCTCACTAGCAGATAAATATAGATTGCCCATTTCTTTCTCCACATCGATCGGCACAAACTGCGATAAATTATGGTCTTGATATCCACTCATTAATAAACCGCCGGGACTTAATTCACCTAACACATTTACTGCTGAATTTGGATTTATAAGCTGCTTATGCGTTATTCGTTGACTCCATGCAGAAAAGTTATTCCTTATTGTATGGTCGACAACATCTAGTGAAAACTCTTTACCCTTATTATAATGTACGACATTATCTTGAGATGAAGGCATAGGTCCATATAAATAACGTTCAAGCTTATCCAAATTTATATTGGCAGCACGATTTGAAGTGGCTTTTAAATTTATAGTATCATCGCCAAGATCATCGTACGTAATCTTTTCTGCAATTCGTCGCTTCTTAGCTACTTGTTGCTCTTTCTCATCTACGACTATAATTTCATCAACTTCAGCAATTTTATGTTTTTTGCCTGATTCTTTTTCAGAACTATTCTTGTCTTTATCCTTTTCCTTATCTACCTCTTCTTGATGATTTTTATCCTCATTGCATGTCTTTAAAATCATAAATGAATGTTGATTAAAGCGCTTAATTATAGATTGATGAACTATATTTGTATCCTGTTTTTGATCTGACGTACTGGAACTACAAAATCCGTCTTCAATTGTATTATCACCAAACTTTGAAATGTTTAACAATGGATCATTCATATTTCTTCTTATTTCCTTCCTTAATGTACTATCATCAATTTTACCACATTCAGCAAAAATATCCTTCATTCCAGTAATAATTCGATCACGATGAAAATAATGAGATTGGAAAAATTTCGTCCAGAACTCTGATTCACTTAACTTAGTTGGTACACATTCTGAATGTTTCTTCTTTACAGCTGGATATGCTTTGAACACCGACTCTATTACTTCTGTTGTTAAATTATATTTGAAAACATTACATCCATCATTAACTGGTTTGATTTCAGTCAGGAAATTAGCTGAAACTCCAATTTCTTGTTTGGACGAGCTATTTTTGAGTTTATCTAAATCCTTTCCATGAATAGACCAGAACTCTTCTGACGTAAGTACTTTTGATATTACTAAATCTTTATAAAGTTGTAACAATTTTGGATTTTCAGTAAGAACTTTATTCTTTTGTTCAAGCTCTGTATCTATTTTACGTTTAAAGTTTGGTAATATTGACTGTATCAGTTCCTTAACTTTTTCTCTATCTTGAATTTGATTCTGTAATCCATTTTTGTTCACAAAATGAAACGTCGAATTATTCCCATCATGCAGGACTAATTGGAGCTGAATTTTAGGCTTATGTTCTGGTGATATTTTTTGCACTGAAATAAATAGGCATTAGTTTATGACTTTTAAAAATTAATAAACACAATAGTTACTTTTAATATCATAAAAGCTATGAGATACAGCTATCTCCTCTTTGATTTCAAGCATAAAAACAATCCTTTCCTTCATAATATATAACGTCCCGTCACTTTTCTTGTATTTTACTTGAGGAACTGAAATAAACAGTTGTATATGATAAGCTGGATCAAATAAAATGAATAGTCTATATTACCAAGAAGCAAGACATCCTCGACTTTCTTTTTTTGGGACATGATTTCGCTGATTCTAGAAAGGAACAAAAAGTAACCAAAATTATCTTCTCATTTATTTTCGGAAGCTTTTATTTACCTTAGTATTTAATACGCCTTAAATAGTTTAACAAAGTGTTTCTAATAGAATATCCAACAGTTCTTTATAAGTATCTCTTTCAGACGACCTTTTTACATCATAATGTGAAAAATTTATGATTGAATAATTGAATAAAGTCGTCACGAAAATAATATCCTGAATTCTCCTACTTTTATAAGGAAAAATGATGGAAATCGATTTTTATATTATAAACATAACTCAACTTAACAATTTCCAACAAAAAAGAAGTAAAGAACAGCTGTATTTCTCTATAAAAATAGAAATAAACTAAACTTATGATTTAATATGACCAAAACAAACTGCTGAACTTGCTGAATAATTTCAAATTCAAAAAAAGTTCGTTAAAAACGTATGCCAGCATGCTCTTAACCACGTGTTTTAATATTTATGATACAAAATATTTTATGAGACATGAGTTTAATTATGCACCAGGTCAAAAACCTTCAAAATCAGACATAGACAAAAGTAGTACAAAGATAAATTCACTTCACACCTGATTGATTGTTTGTGCATGCCAAATTTCAATGTTCACTACATACTTTTCATTCACAGATAATATGACACTATGATTTACCACAGTTATGGAACATGATTATGGTGGTTTAAGTTGTACCAGATAAATTTATATATAAGTCACTGATTATAATCAAATCGAGTTCATTTGTTGTCTGAATTTTAAACTTTAAAAACGTTGTTTATGAAAATTGCTTAACATGAACAAAAAAATACTGATTTTAATGATATTTTGCAATTGCTGTGCTGGTGATGAGTTAAAAAGCACAAAGGATCAGTATGTTTTACCAAGTGATTATATTTATAGTCCTTTAAAGATATACGGCTACCCATATTTAAATAAACAAGATTCATACATTTACTTCCCAACTGATGGTCATTATGAAGTTATAAATTACCATAAAAGTCCGGAACCATTTAAAAAATTAGAGAAACATGAATTAAGTGTACCAAAATATAACAGTAAAATAGTATCGCCAAGTTATTATGAAGTAAGTCCACCGACACCATTCAAAAAAACTGAACCACAAAAGTTAATTTTACCAGAAAGTATAAAATCAGAAAGGATCAAAATAAGTCCTTTAGATGAAGAATCGATTTTAAAAAAATATGATACAAAAGAACCAAGACATCCAAAGGCAAGCAATATAATAATAAAATCAAGCAATGGTGAAGTGAGCACATTAACTGAAGGAGGTAAAAAGTTTGAGAATTCTTATCATAAAAAGCATGGCTTTAAGACAAGTGAAGGATATAATAATGACCAAAAATACAGTAAAGGGAAAAAAGATTCTTATGAGAAGAAGCATGACTTAGGCGATGAAAATTCTGAGAAGAAAAATAAACAGTCAAACTTTGAAGATCACGAACAATCAGAAGATGACAATAATCAAGGTCACAAAGAAAATGGCGAGAATTACAATTTAAAGAAGCATCACAAGAAAGGATCAAAAGCAAAGGGATATCACAATGTATTTATGAAGGATGAATATAAAAAAGATCACATATTTTACGGTATGAATCTATAAAAACCTTTATTATGTTAACATTCTTAAATATTTATTAAATTCTACTTTTGATTATCTTTAGATAATGCCGATGAAAGGGGACACTTCTCTAAGCATGGATCGGATCACACAAAGTACCATAATGATGATTATGAGCTGAAAAAGGGTTCACACATTAATGCTGACAAAGAGTCAGCTTCTAGCAAAAAGCAGTCATCAACTGACAAGAAGAAGTATGATGTTGCCGATGAAAATTATAAGAAGGAATACAATCATAGTTCTAATGATGGTAATAGTCAGGAATTTAAATTGGAGAGCGGAAAATCCGGTTATAATGTTGCCATAACACATTCGGTGTAAAATATTTCACATCTGAACCTAGTTTCTATAATTCAAACTATTTTTATTAAGGTATGGATACTGAAAATATTCATGAAGTTCATAAAATTGTGAATTTCTACATCCATTTAAATTTTTCAAATGCAGCTGTACCTTATCCATATATGCAGGATGTCATATAGTTATTTTATCCAATAATTTATCAATTTAAATTTAAACATTATCCATACCTTAATATTTACTAAATCCATTCATTTTTAAACCTAACAAAAATAGTGTTTTTAAGCTCTAAAATATGATTCATGTCTTCTAAAGTGCTTGTGATAATGATAGTTCCTTATAGTAAAATGATCATTCTGTTAATATGACAATTAATAATTAAGTTTATAGTGATGAAAACTAAATCAATGTTTCAAACTAATTCTATTGACATAAAATTCTATTCTAAATCAAAGTTTTAAAATTGTGTAAATCTTGTATTGATTTTTCGATGCTCTGTTTTGATTTTATGCAGTTTGCAGTCAGCAACAATTCGTTGTGATTTTTTTTTTATGATGAGCTTCTAACCCATCCAATTGATTTTAGTTCCTGATTGCGAGAAATTAAACATATTCAGAATTACAGTTGTTACGTGAACCCGAATTATTTTCGCTTATGGCTGATAATCGGTTATGATTAATAGTTATGATGTCTGTTCGTTCCAAGTTAAATGATTCAATATTTTCATAAGGTTTCTCAATATGATTGGATAAATCGGAATAATAAGCACTGCTTGGTGCTGATGAAAATAACGGCATATCAGTCTGGAATTATGAAATGCTTTTATTATTATTTTGATCTACAATCAGCCAGTTACCTCATCGTTTCGCATGTACGTTGTTTTGTTAAATGAATTGTTGATATTTTCAGAAGAAATTGAGTCGTGATCATGATCATCGAGAGTTGCATATAAATTCTCTTCTTGCTCCATAAAAAATGCTAAATCTACATTAGATGATTCGTCTATCTTCTTCAGTTCAAGCTTGCTGTTGTGTGTTGTGTCCAAGTTTGTTGTTGACGATATCCCTTGTTTCTCAAATAAAAATGCTATAAAAAGTTATTCTGATGATACATGGGAGACATAGATGTATTCATAGGATAAGACTCGAGTAAGCTATTGACAACTATTAAATAAGGAGTCGTCTACTTTAAACTCTTATTATCCCTAATATAGAACTTAAGTTTTCATTAAACCATAAATTTATATTATATCTTGTATGAACACGTGTTAATAATCTTTAATAAAGTAAGGATTTTAGTTTACCACCAATAGAAGCATTTCGTTTCAGTCTCAACGTCAGTATCATGACTATAGCACCAAACAATGCAGAACATACAGAAACACTGATGAGAAGAACCACCCATGATATGTCATTCTTCGAAGATTCTGTATGAACATTGACTAATTTTTTACTAGAAGATAATGATATTCATAGCCATATACAAACCTCTATGACCTTCCAGCGAGAAAAATGTTTTGTCGTTGTTCATTGATGCCCAATCGCATAAGTCACAAGTAGTTAAACCGTCCGAAATAACGTCTAAGAAAATTCACAAGTTACTATTGGCAATATCCAATAATGATTGTCTTCTCATTACCTTTAATTTCATCGATAGGCATTCGTGGTGGTGGTGGAACGAAATTTCCATTAAACAGTCCATAGCTGCTTGAATCGAAAGGTAGCATATTAAAATTTCTTTCATTGAAACTTTTCTTTATTTCGGTCTGTATGGAGATAATTGATGAATCAATAATTTTTCCACTTGACTGGATTCTGGAAAACATTTTAATTGAGCGTTACTAAAGATAATTATCCGAAAAATATTAAATATTATTATTTAAAATAGTTTCAACACTTATCAGACTATGAGAAAGTAAAAAAACTTTATTAGGGCATATTTAGGGCATATTTCATTCTTTTTTGAGTGATTTGTTTCGCAAAATATGCGGTAATGTGTGTATTTGTATAGTTATGAACAATAAAAAAGAATTCAGAGTAAGTACGTATGCAAATTTTTATGAATATCTTTTTATAAATTGCAAAGAAGACGTCAGAAATTTTATTTGACAAATGGATTTCACTTAAATTTTCATATTTTATTAGGAAAATGCAAAGTGAAGTCTTAAAAATAAAAATAGAATTAAATTTGTGTGCAAGGAAATTCCATTGAAAAATGTGGGGCAACAGATTGAAAATTGCATTCTTTAATAAAATTTATCTTTTTTGTCAGGATAGATTTAAACAATTCAATTTGTAAGGCGTCAAAAGTTTGTGCATAAGATGAACTTGATGTTCCTAGTAAGAGTTTTGAAAATCATTATTGGTATTTGAACCTTTTCAAAAAACTTTTGGTTCAAAAACCAAAATTCGATTTGACATTTTATTTTGCGAAAAAATATTCGCAGTGATAAAAATTGATGATTACGCAATGACAATAAGTTGTTATTATGTCATACGTGTATGAAATTTATGAGATAATAATAACGAGAATATACAATTGTAAAATTGAATCATTTTTATTGAATTTTCTTTTTAAATTTAAAATACTTATTTATTATTAACTTGTTCAACTTAATTCTATTATTGTCACTATAGCTTAATATAATTCATTGAACTTTCAATTGGAAATATTATACTGCGAATTTTTCAATCCGATAAACAAAACTTTAGCAACGCATGTTCGTGTTATTACTCTGTTTTTCAGGATTGATGTGATGGTCTCAACTTCAATTCCATTTAAATTTATTAATTCATTAGGCATTTAAATACATATCTATTAATAACCTGTATCTAACATTTCTTTAGCTATTGATTCCTAGTGATACCAAAAATGGCTCTGTCTTTCTTTGTGCATTACAAAAAAGCTTATTAATATCTAAATCATGGCTAATTTAATACAAAAATGTATTTTTACTGTTTTTTCAGAATTCAGTGTTGATAACTAGGTATTCGTAATTAGTAATAGCAGCATCAAAATGTATGCAGTACTGGAACTGAAAACTGACACCTAGATACCAAAACTGATTCAAAATCTACTAAAGTATAAAATAATTAATTGTAGCAGTAATTTGTTTAAGAATAATGATATCTAAAATTTGGTCTAGTGAGGATGTATCAAGTTAATAGTGAACTTTTTTGATAATTAATTGAGTATTTGAATAATCACAAAAATACTTCAACACTGGGAATATTTTCGTAATATAATAATAAGGAATTCATTGTAAGAGTCTAGACTGTAGACGAAGGTTGACGAAATTTTGGCACCTAGTTTAATTTTACATACTTCGTTTGCAGTCACTTTTAAGACAGTCAGTGATGTCATCAAATTTTTGATTACTTCAGTGAAATTAATTTCAACTTGGTCTTAGCTTATTGGAACTTAAATTTCAAAAATAATTCTTCTTCTCTGGGTAAAGTTGATTTTTTAGAAAAATGTGTGAACAATTTCTTTAATACTAGTATAAGTTCCGCTAATTAATCCGACCTGAAATAAATAAAGAAAGATTTATTGCTGCAGAGAAGAACAAATATTCTATAGACTACGTACAGTTGCAAGAATAAAGATTATTGCATTTTTTGTCACCATGATTGCTTTTGAAAATCCTTCGGTTGTATTCCAGTAGACGCATGTTTGAATAAGAGCTGGAAAAGCTAGTCCCAAAGCTGTAATTGAATAATTTATAATCTATTTAAAAAAGATCTTAAATGGTGTTTAAAATTTTGAATTGTTTACCTGACAGGCAAAGTGCTCCGAAAAGTGAAATGAACAATTCTAAATTAGGAATGGCAATAGCTAATAAAACTGTAAATAAAAAAAAATCTTTATGATAAAAAAGTTTTGGCAATTAAATCTTTGGCTTACATGTAAAAAAGACCAAAAGTGTTCGTGTGACATATTCCCAAAATTGCTTTGATTTAGTGACTTTTTTACTCAGATGTTCATTCCATATTATGTCAATAGCTACGTAACATGCTAAGCCATGAGAAATAAAAATTGCAAAAGCTAACATTCCTTGAACAGCTTGCGCTTTTATATCATTGGTTGGTAAGTTTAAAGTTATTGAACCCATAACATCACTTCCATATCTCAAATATCCAAAAAGACCCATTCCGACGTATAAAACGACGATAATTACCATAGCTGTAAAGTAATTTTGTTTTATTTAAAATAATCTTTTTTACAAAAAAAAAATATTCAAGGGATTTTACCATTATTGAGAACACCAAACTTTGAAGCTATAAGATAAATTAATTATAGTAGAATATCATCAGGATAAGGTATTTTGTGTCTTACCAAAAGCCTTTGGAGTTTTCATTTCATTTTCTAAGGGCAGAATGACACCGATCGCCTCTACATGATTTAAAGTGAAATATAAGCATGATGATTTTAAAATTTGTAATTTTATCTTACCTAAAGCAAACAGCACAGTTCCAAAGAAGAGTGGAAAGTTTTGAATTTTACCAAACGCTTGTTTATCTTCAATCACAAAAGGCTTCTCAAAGATAAAGTATAGAATAAATCCGAATGAAATTAACGTAATAGCATTGGCGAATGTGCTAAATGGAGCTAGGAATTTTAGATTTTTTATCTATTAAAATGAAAACAGTTATTTCAGAGATTTTTATACACAAATAAATTATGATTCAAGTACCCAATTCAAGAATATAAGAGGGATGAGAAGAAAAACCATAATCAGCCTAACATCAGTGGCATCATCTGTATACAAGTCAGTTATTCGTTTAATATTGGATGCTACAAAAACAACATAAACACAGCATGTGCCGAGTTGATATACAACCAAGAATAAATTTACAACGTATCTGTAAATTGAATAATGATGAGAAAAATAATCGTTTAAATAAAGATAATCATACTTACACACTCATCTTTGAGAATTTATGTAAACACTTTGGTCCTTCTAATAAAGCTGCTTCCGTAACGCCAACGTAATTCAGACTTGCAACTTTCTTTCTCTTGCACAATTCATATTCTGCACTTATCAATTGGTGGATACAGTATGTACACAAGACACCAATAATTATGGTTCCTATTATACCTGTTACGTAACCTGAATCGTTGAATGCATTTGACATTGCCAAGATTCCTTTAAATAAATAAACATATTATTCACAACTAATTTCACTCATTTTTTCATGGTTTCATTTGAAGGAAAACTATCTGAATTGTACTTAAAGGAATTTCTATTTCATCATTATCTTGATAGGAAAATGAAAGGTTTAAAACTTCTATATGTCAACATGTGAATTAATTAATTTGAGTTTAATTTTACAATGCATTAATAAATTAATAAGGCATTTAATAAATCTAAATGATTTAGAAGCTGTTAATTTTTATTTATGATAAAATGAAAAATGCACTAAAAAAGGAATTTGTGCATTTATGAGACTTAAACTTTTATTACGTAAAAATTCTTCACGGGATTATGGAATCAGCTTCGTAATCACAATTATCGTAAAGTGTATGGAAAGTTTGCTGATATGTAGACTTTTGTTTTCGTTTAGTATGTCTTAAAACTTGCCATATCCAAATCGGTGATAATTGATTGTAAATAATACCTTTTTGGGACTTTTGGCCTCATCATTTCAAAATATGCATGATCATTAAAGTTCATAAACGAGAAAGAGATTGTACATTCAAGCTTTTTTTGGTGAATTTCGAAATAAAATTAAGATTTTATAATCATCCGATTATCCTTTCATTTTTTTAATCCTTCATGGTTTGACTGGGTTTGGGTTATAGGATGATGATAAATGCTTCAGATTTGAATATCTTCAAACCGTAGGCATTTAAATTTAAGAGTCTGTTTTGATGCAAATCCATAAAGAATATTTCAAGGATAAACATAAAGCTATCGAATATGGAGCGAATTAAAGAATATAAAATACTGGTATTTTAGTTGATTTTTGGCAATGAAACTTTGCTTAGTATTTTAAGAGTTTCTCTTTTCAAGTATTGACATGAAAGATTCTTTTAAAGAATTTCGAGTCAACAAAACTGAATAAAAGATTCCTATTAATTTCAAAAGTTCATTATATAGGAGTGGTTCGTAGTGTTCAATATTTCACAATCATTAAGCAAAGCAGCTTTAATTTACAGTCTAATGTAGAAATTTCATTCACTGCAGCTTAAAGTACTGGTTTCTCCGATAATTTAATGAGCGTCATTATTACACGACTTGCATATTAAGAATATTGATTATCGAAAGCCATACTACCACAGCACTATAGAAAGCATTTGTAACAACTTATAAATAAAAATTTATTGACGAAAAAAGTGCAATAGTTTTAATTATAGCTCAGTAAAAAATAGGAAGTAAAGTAAATGAGAAGTAGTAATAAATTTAGATTTAAATTTTAGGAAGAGTCATTACCTGTTCCAAGACTTCCTTTTAGTAAATGGATGAATGTTTCGAAATTTGTCGTCGGGTGTTCAACCTCTCGATTAAGATATGGATTGTAGTCATTCTGACCTTTTGAGAATTCAGCTTTTCCTTTGAGTTCTAATCCAAGTTCTTTTTTCTTGACTGTATATCTTTGGAATAAAAACCGTCATCGATTAGAAAGTTGGAAAAAAAATTGTATTAAACATTTTATTTACTTTATGTTAGGTTCATCACCCTCATTAAATGCGGGATTGATGTTTCCTTTTTCTGTTGACATTTGCGTTTTCATGGGAATTTGTATTGATGCTTTTTATAACTGCAATCAATAAATAATTATTAAATTAAAATTATAAATTATCATGCACATATGGTGATTTTTTTAAGTACACTTTATAGTCAGGCACAAAATTAAAACTTATCAAATATCAATTCAAAACTTGATCTGGTTTTTAAAATATTTATACAACAAAGCTTTTTAATGTGAAGTATTAAAATTTTTGCACTATATTCAACTATTACTCCATATATATAGTTGTCAATGTCACGAATTTGATTCAGCTTAGGTATGTACTCTACATGTGCACTTTTCGCTCTCAAATTTTTTGTATGTAATAAATATGAGTAGTTTGCCAAAATTTAATTTTTATAAAAAAAATAAATAATTTTTTTAATATCCTTCAAATGCACAGCAAATAGTAAACTGATTCGGATTATTGACTTTTAATCATGCACAACAGATTTTAAATTCCACTAAGGACTGTCCATAATTCTTTTTTTTTGAAATAATAAATTCAGTAATGTACCAGTAATGTGTTGCTGAAGCTTTTCTTTCAATCACTAAAGTAGTCAATATCCTATGCTTGTAAAAATATTTATCTCTTTTATTTTTGTCCCGTTCTCTTTTTTAGTTCAGCAAGCGTAAACGTCTCATTCAACAGCACAATACAAACTGTTAGCAAAATCTTGAAAATTTAATCCGAGAATGCCTTTATAAAATAATGTGTTTCTTAAAATTGGTGATCACACACGTGATTTATAAATAAACTACAGAAGGTGAACACATACTAGTCAACTACTTAAAGCTTGTTTTCCTACAAAGTTTTGCCGGTCATAATATAATGAAGAGAAGAGACATGCAGTTGAAAATATTTCTGTACAGAAGCTCAAGTTCAAGTTTTCGGAAATGAATATTGTGTATTTAGTATGCAGCCAACCTTGATTTTTTTTAAAGAAATGCGACAAATCTTTTTTAAAAATATGTGAGTAAAGACATGATGATGATGATGATACATTATTTTCTAAATCCGTAACTACTTTTATTTGTCAACTACAGTAGCTACCTACATGAATATAGAGTGTACTTGTGTGAATTTTCTCTGATCGTTCACTTATCATTTGCTTACTTTATTGCATATACATATTTTTTGAGAATTCATTCAAGAATTCAAAAGTCATATCAATTGACAAAAGCAATAGAACTTGAGTGAATAATTTGTATCTTTGATTATATTTAATATAGCAAATTGTGAGAAATGATTTTTACCCAAGATAATTTATGTTTCCTTTCATTATGGAAATTGTGGAGAAAACTCTTGAATTTTCCTTACTCAATTTCATCATCGATCCATGTTTTGGCATTTAAAGTCATGTAGAAAAAGTTGAAGTGACACAAACTTTTAATCCTTGTTGTCATTCCTATCAAAGTATCATTATGGTTTCGGAAAATTTATTGAGGACAGTCGAAATTATTTTAATTTCCGTAAATAAAGTGATACAATTTAAAGAAACTTTAAATAGTTTTCATACAAGTATTATTTTTAAAAATACAACAGGTAAATCCTACAAGGTGCTTTCGATATTTTTTGCGCACATGGCGCCAACATTTTTATCGAAAAATAATAACGAATAAAAAAAATTCAAACTTTTGTTCGAAAAGTGGAAAATTGTAATTTTTTGGCATTATATTTTACAATTCATGAGCGCATTTCAAAGAGGTAAGGTTAATAAAATTTATGAAAATTAACTATGTAGTTTTAAACTAAAATCCCAAAAAAGGTTTTGAAAAATAAGATAAAATTAATAACTTCTCATCAATAAGTGTTTATCACATAAATGTAACTGTGAAGACAGTCAGTCAAATGAAATGTACAAGCTATGATGAAATGAATCAAGTCAGGGGGATTACAATTCATCATAAAGTCAGTTTGCACATGTATTAAACTATGGCATTTTTTAAAATTCAACGGCTGTATCTATTTTAAATTTTATGCTTTTTGAAAATTTAAAATGAAAAAATTTCCGTTAAATATGTAAAGGGAGTAAACTTTTGAATTTGTAAACAAATCGTAAACAATTTACTGTAGTTGTGTTCCCCCAAAAATTGAGATGCATTGAAAAATAAATAAATAGAAGAAAAAGATACGAGAGAGCGACGAAATATATTTTAAAGTGACTTTTTGTCTGTTTAAATGTAGTATAATTAATATATCTCTTAAGTACAACACCGTGAAAAGGTACTCTTAGAAAAGTTTTATTGATTACTAGTTTGAAGAGATAAGAAAATAAGATAAATTGATTATTACTTAAGAAGAAAAAAAAACTAGGATTGAAAAATGTTACATTAAGTGTTATAAGAGCATTTTTTTTTTATATAACTGGTTATTAAGTCTCTTAGTCTGTGATCTATTAAAGATTATTGGAAATATATTGATTTACATTGAAGAGCTGTCTGAAAGAAGACAACAAAAAAAGAAAATCGAAAAAAATATTTATGCAGCAAGTATACATATATTTTGCACTTTTGGAAGTATGACCTTGATGCATACTTTGCATTTCCAGTTGTTTGAGTTCATTCTAAATAAGTAAGCATAACATTGATTTGTGGCTCTGGTCAAAAAAAGAGGAATGCGTGAATAACAGTGGGAGATTTATTAAAATTTATCGAAAACTTTTCCCTAGACGTACTCAATTGTGCTTGTTATTGCTAAGAACAGCTGTCCAACACCTGTAACTGCTTCAAATAATTATTATATTATTTTGTTGAGATTTTAACGAGCTTTGTTTTAGTAATTAAATGTTTAAGGATCAGTGCAAATTGATAAATTCTGTGAAATTATTTTCGTCAGTAGTGCTTAACTGTAAAAAATTATAAAGTAGGAGCAAGTCGGTGGCTGTTGATCATATTTGGCAGTGTGCGTTGTTAACTTAAAATAGATTTTCGACCAGAGCCTTTTGTATGTCTTTTAAAAAACTGCATACCCTTTAATTTAATTAACGATATACGATAAAATATATGTATATGTGTTATTCGTCCGCAAACATTTGTGGGAGTCATAATCTAATTAATTTAAATTATTTTCTATTTACACAATTGTTTAGTTTATTATATATAGAGGAGGGAAAGAAGCATAACAAATGGACAAAAAAATGAATCGTGATGAAGAAGGCCTTATCTTGCCAAAAAAGTTGATAAATCCATGCTTGGAGTCGAGAGATCGTCAAAATTTACATAGGGAATTAATGTTCAACCAGAAAGTGTAAGCTTATTTGCGTTGTATTCTAATACATTTTTTTCTACATTTTGTTTACGTACTGCCTGCCTTACCTACCTACCTACCTACATTAAAAAAATTGTTTATTTCAATCTATTTAAGTGGAAAAAATGTGCTCAATCAAAAATCGGAACTTCAAATAGCTCTGCAACGACAAAAGGAACGTCAATTTTTAGCTGCTCATTTTGAAACACAATCAACCCCGTCCATACAAACGGAACTGGGAAAAGTTATCACAGAACGTGCTCAAAAACTCGAAAGCTCATCAAAAGACATTGACAGCTCACAGAACAATTCCGAATTCAATGAAGAATATTTAAAAGCTCGAGCCAAGTTAAGAGCTAGCAACAAAATACAAGCGTAATGCATTAGAAAGGAGACAAAGAAGAATCTGCATATTTTTCGATTGATATTTTTTTAGAAAAAATTACCAATGCTTCTCATTTTTTTTCCTGTGCACCTAAAGACTTTGCAACTTATCTTAGATTTATTCCTGTAAAAAAAAACTTGTTCTTGCTTTATTACATATTGTAAAAAAAGGAAGATTGTGTCATAACGAATTTATGCAATTTTATGACGTTGTAATTTTAACGAAGAATCATTTAACGATTTAAAACTCATGGAAATATGTAAGGAGAGAAAAAAATATATTTTTGAGAAAAGATATGCATTTAGATTTATGTGATTGAATTTCAAATAATAAAATTGTAAATTGACTTATTGAGAGGAAAAATTGGGTCTTAATGTCATAATTTCTTTTTTAGCATTTTATGAAGCAATTTTCATTCAACATGATACATCATCCACTTTTTTGTTATGCTTATACTTTTGGAAGATTGCATAATGCGATTATTACTAAATTATTAAAGTTTTAAATTGTTTCAGCGCCAAACAAATTTTTCTTAATGATTTTTTTCTTTTCTTCCGATTGTTTAAACACAAAAGTTAAGAATTAAAACAGTGTGTGAATGGTGAGCGGGAGAAATTAGAATATTCAACCGAGAAAGAAAAGAGATTATGAGAGTGAATTTCAATATGATCGTAACTAGTCGCGCCGTAATTTACGATGTAACACTCAGTGATTTGTCTATTATTTGTTTAATATAGATACACTCTAATAAATTTCCTAGAAAACGTAATGATTTGGAAAATTGACTTGATTTAAAATTTTGGATACGTACAAATAGCTGCTTTTTACTCTGCATAATGATATAAATAAAGTTATAAAGACTTAATTACATTTTCAAGTTCACAACGGCTTTAAATTATTTAAAGTTATAACAGCTTTTAGAATTTCAAAATGTGTTCCAAATTAAAACTTTTGACAAAAAATGTAAAATGAAATAATCACTGAAAAAACGTATTTATTGATGAGAAATCATTACCACAGCTCATTCATTACGGAGATTGAAGTAATTGTTTAATTTCCATTAACATCCAGTTAATCTAATTATAGCTTATAGCAACTTTTAAAGTGATTTTTGTTTTATTAATTTCATTTGTTTACATAATCGAATTAAAATACGAACAAAAGGGAATTTAAAATTTAGAAATTCGTTGACTTTTTAACAAAACTAGTGTATCGGGTAGAAATCCAATGCGGATATATTCACACCGTACCATCAAAAGTCTTATGGATAGACCAAGATTTGCTCAGCATAAGTTTGAAGGGTGGGCGTGAAGTACAGCCGAGACCCTTATCGACACAGTTCAAAAGTTATACCTAATTTATGTTATAATTATGTCAGCTACAAAAACACTTAGTTTGAATTTTGTCACCCTCGGGAACAACCCCCTTGGACTAGGGGCGACCCTAGTCAAAATCAATTGTGTCACTCTTTTCTTCGAGGGTTTATACAAATGGATTGAAACTTTGCATAAATATTCAAGTGCTTAAAACAAATACAAATAAAACATCTTAAATTTTTTTGAGCAAAGAACCAAGTAGGAAATACATTTTCAATTTTGGACTAGGGGCGACCCTAGTCAAAATCAATTTTGTCACTTTTTTCTTCGAGGCTTTATACAAATGGATTGAAACTTTGCATAAATATTCTAGTGCTTAAAACAAATATACATAAAACATCTTAATTTTTTTTTGAGCAAAGAACCAAGAAGGAAATACATTTTCAATTTTGGACTAGGGGCGACCCTAGTCAAAATCAATTTTGTCACTTTTTTCTTCGAGGCTTTATACAAATGGATTGAAACTTTGCATAAATATTCTAGTGCTTAAAACAAATATACATAAAACATCTTAATTTTTTTTTGAGCAAAGAACCAAGTAGGAAATACATTTTCAATTATGAACTTGGGACAGGTCCAGTCAAAATCTAGTTTTTCACTTTTTTCTTCGAGGATAAATCCAAATACAGTAAAACTTTGTATGAGCATTCTAATCTTCAGGTCACACATTTCTGAATTAATAAAAATCATTTTTTTGTACAAAATTTTAAGTCACGTTGTTTTTGAATGTACAACCAAATTTATAAAATTTGGGTCTGACGACATATAGAATACATTTCTTGCTTTAGATATTTAAAACTGTTTTGTATAAATTGGTATAAATATTAGTATACTCACACAAAGTTTCACTGTAATTGGATAAACCTTCGAAGAAAAAAGTGAAAAACTAGATTTTGACTAGGGTCGCCCCTAGTCCAAAATTGAAATTGTATTTCCTTCTTGGTTCTTTGCTCAAAAAAATTTTTTTCATCCAAAGTTTCATTTAAAATAAAACAAATCACAGTGAACTTTTAATTTGAAAAATTCGTAAGAAAGGAAAGTTTTTTGCTTTTTCTGAAGCAACGGCTGTTCCTACCTTGCCCAAAAACAATACAGCTCTTCTATAGAGCCGCACGGATCAAATGTAAAAAACTAGAAGTCTCTACAATGTCTCGTTATTGAGATTTCTTGCTGATTAACTTGCATGCTTGCTTGCTTGCTTGTTTGCTTACAGAAAGCGTATTTTGCGATTTTCTCAGCAATGCCGCAACCAATTTGAAATCTGTTTTTTGAAAATGATGAAAAATTTCAGGCACAAACTTTTCTTCTGTGACCTTTTATAACCAATTTTGCTTTGTTTTATCACAAAATGCGAAAAACTGATTTTTCAATCTGAACAAAACCAATATTCACAAGTGAAAACGGTGTGAATATAACATGTCTTTTCTGCTCATAACAAGTTATAACTTCAATTACAGTAATACAAGCATGTTGACAATCATAAAAGCAATAATTATGGAGAAAATGTTTCTAGAATGTTTGAAATCTACAAAAACACGATCATCTAGATCGTTGTGAACATGCATGCTCTTAACATAGAACAAAATGAATTATGAAAGCGGTGTGAATATGAGGAAGAAACGAACATGAAAAAGAGAACTCTTAAAGCGAAAGGAAGAGAATGAAAAGAATCTGAACAAAACAGAAGACAGAAGATCTCTTAGTTTGTTTTTGTTCGTGAGTGTGATGAGTCGTAAAAAGACGAGGGGCTAAGACATTTCTTGTAAATTAAGAAAATATTGGTACATATTATTATCAATAATATACATAAAATGATTAAAGTTATCAAAAATTTGAAAAGATTCGTTAAAAGTTATCATAAATAATCTGATTGATCGTTTCTAGATGATTGAAATAGTATTTTTACGACATTTTGTTGTAAAATGAATAAAATGGATATCATGTTAAACATTCTTGCTGCGCTATGCTCAAAATTTTCAAAGAGGAAGAAAGAAAAAAAAAATAATATATACATAAGACGAAAAGAACTTCATGAATTTATCAATGTAGAAAGTATATTTTTAGCCAGCGTTTGTTTTTTTTTGTCTGTAAACCGATGCTTAAGCATAAAAAACTGCATCTATTGCATTCTTTAAAAATTAATTTATCGGAAACGATCATAAGAATTTGATTGAAAAGAATTTAGACTTGATATGAAAAATAGTTTTTAAAAGGAAAAATCTAAATAAGTGCACGAAAGGTTATCAGTGATTTTTGGTCATCTTCTAGTTGTAAAAGCTTATGAAATTTTTTTTCAATGAATCAATCTGTGTACGTAAGAAATGAAAAACAGAATTAGAAGATCACATACATTTTTAGAATGTGGCAAAAGTGTAAAAGTTTTACATTAAATAAGATTTTTGATATGGACATTATACAGACCCGAGAGAGAATTATTTTGTTATCAGCTTAGTAGGAATGGAGCGGAAGTTCATGTTTCTTTTTTTCGTTTTTACACAAATTTCATTCAGTTGTTTTAAATACTTATTATATGTACCAACACATTTGATTATTCTTTTTAGATTTGTCTTGTTTAATATAAGTGGGCCATTGAAGTCAAAATGGCCAGTTTTCTAAAAGCTAAAGATGCTTCTCTAATATTTTTGCTCCTATTTTTAATAAGTAAGTGTGACATCCGTTGAATTGTGTCTATCATGAAATAGATGATATCCAATTTTTTTTTTATCATATAGATACTATTGTAAGTGCTCAACAAAATCCTAGAATAAGGAATCAAAGACCGGGAATTTCAAGAAGTAAGGATTGCATAATTAAATACTCATACCTGCATGCAAATGTAAAAAATAATCTATGTTAATTTTAGCACGTGTTCAACAAAGACCAAATGTAAGATTACATCCATGTGAACAAAGTAGTTGTTATCCCGCAACTGGCAATTTACTCATTGGAAGAGAGAATAGACTTACTGCTTCTTCCACTTGTGGTGTAGGTCAAAAAGAAAAATTTTGTATAGTGTCGCATTTAGAAGAGAAAAAATGCTTCATCTGCGAGACTAATCCTTACACTGAAAATAGGCCACAGGAAAATCATCGAGTTGGACAGATAATTTACAAATATAGACCCGGGTAAGCAAATAAAGATAATATTTTGAAAATATATTCTTTATCATTATGCATTGTCGTTACAGAACTCTTGAACCAACATGGTGGCAATCCGAAAATGGAAAAGAAAATGTTACTATTCAATTGGATCTTGAAGCTGAGTTCCACTTTACTCACTTGATTATTGTTTTTGCAACGTTTCGTCCTGCTGCTATGTTAATTGAACGTTCTTATGATTTCGGCAAGACATGGCATGTGTACAGATATTTTGCAGCTAATTGTGAAGAGTCATTTCCACATGCATTGGTTGAAAGTGAATCAAAGAATATTACGGATGTTGTGTGCGATCACAGATACTCTAATGTAGAACCATCGAAAAATGGTGAAGTCATTTTCCGTGTACTTCCACCAAGCATGAATATTGCAAATCCCTACGCTGATCACGTACAAAATATGTTAAAGATGACAAATTTGAGAATAAACTTTACTAAGCTTCATACACTCGGAGATACTCTTTTGGATGATCGATCAGAAATTCAAGAAAAGTATTACTACGGTATTTCTAATATGGTTGTTCGTGGTTCCTGTTCATGTTATGGTCATGCATCTCGTTGCTTGCCTTTGGATGGATTTGAGACACAAAATGACATGGTTCATGGAAGATGCGAATGTACACATCACACTAAGGTTTGTGGTGCTTTAAAGTAAAAGTTTCCTGTACTAATACGTTCATTTGACATTAGGGTTTAAATTGCGAGTTTTGTGAGGATTTTTTCAATGACTTACCATGGAAGCCAGCTCTTGGAAAGCAAACAAATGCTTGTAAAAGTATGTCATAAAATATGAATTACTCAATCATATTCTTTATTCATTCCTTCTTTATTCCCAATAGAATGTAACTGTAATAACCATGCCACAAGTTGTCACTTTGATCAAGCTGTTTATGAGCATTCAGGAAGAATAAGTGGTGGTGTTTGCGATAACTGTGAACACAACACGCAAGGTCAACATTGCGAACAGTGTATACCATTCTTCTATCGTGATCCAAATGAAGACATTCAAAGTCCTTATGCTTGCAAGCCATGTGATTGCGATCCATTAGGTAGTTTGGATGAAGGAATTTGTGACTCAACATCAGAAGGCGATGTTGAAGCAGGAGCTTGTCACTGTAAAACAAATGTTAAAGGACGTCGTTGTGATTATTGCAAGGAAGGATTCTGGAACATGACATCGGAAAATCCAGATGGTTGTGAATCATGTACGTGTAATATTCTTGGAACAGTTGACAATTTGGGATGTAACTTCTATACTGGAGAATGTACTTGCAAACGTTTGGTAATGGGCAAGGATTGTAATCAGTGCATGCCAGAAACATATGGATTATCTGAAAGTCAAGATGGATGTACACCATGTAATTGTGATGCCGGTGGCTCTTTAGATAATAATTGTGATGTCATTACTGGACAATGTAAATGTAGACCATATATGCAAGGAAGAGATTGTAGTGAACCAAAACAAAATCATTTCATTCCAACTTTACATATCATCACAGAAGCTGAAGGATCCAATACAGTTTGTGAGAGTGGTTCATCATATGTAAGTTAATTGTGCTAGCACCTATTTAATATTTAATTTACTTATAAAAAATATATGTTCTACAGAACTGCTCAATTGTCATTAGAGATCAGAATATTGATCGACCATCATGGACTGGTCCAGGATTTTTAAAAGTATATGAAGGTGGTGATCTTAGTTTCACAATCGATGGAGTTCCTAAAACAATGAATTACGATGTAGTGCTGCGATATGCACCACAACAACGAGGTAACTGGGAGGATGTTCGAGTAAGTCTTGTACGACCTGATGGAATTGGTCAGGGAAGTGAATGCTACAATATAAAACCATTAGAGGAACAAGAAATGTCTCTTCGTTTGAATGATTATGAAACAAAAGCAATTGCACTCGCAGATCTTTGCTTAGAAGAAGGAAGAACGTACAAATTTTTGTTCTCATTCAATCGCCAGAGCCCTTATGAACCAAATCCAAAGGCCCAGATTTTAATTGATTCGGTAAAAACAGAAATAATTTTCGATTAAATTCATCACTTAATGTTCCCTACTTTTAATTTTTAAATAGCTTGCATTGATACCACGAATTGAAGTGACATCAATTTTTACTGGGTCACAAATTGCCAACACTCGTGCAGATGATTATCAATATTACAGATGTAATGAATCGTACTATGACATATCTTTGGATTCTGCATTAGGAAAGTGCAAAGAACTCTGGGATTTGACTGCAAAATACTTCTATAATGGTGCTACTCGTAAGTATCAATTAACGTCGATATTTTAATTTGAACTCTTATCTTATCACTCAAAAATTCTATTAACTAATCACGGAGATAGAAGACATAAACATTTTTTTAAAATGAGAAATCTCAAATATTTTTGTATATTTTTGCTAGTAGTGTATATTAATCATATTAATCTCGTAGTTTATTCTTTACCAAATAACCAATGTGAATACTTTTACGAACAATTAATGTGATTATTTAATATTAATTCGTGTAAATACATTTAATTTGTAGCTTGTGACTGTAATCCAACGGGTTCAATTAGTAAGCAGTGCGAGAAAAATGGAGGGTACTGTACTTGCAAAAGTCAAGTAATTGGTCGTCAATGTGATAGATGTGCACCAGGAACTTATGGGTTTTCTCCAAATGGATGCCAACATTGCGAATGCGACAGTTTTGGTGCCAAAGATGGTGAATGTGACTTAATTACTGGACAGTGTAATTGTCGTCAAAATACTTATGGTCAAAAATGTAATCAATGTCAAATTGGATATTGGGGCTTCCCAAATTGTAAACCATGCAACTGTAATGGACATGCACCAGCATGTGATGCTACATCAGGAGAGTGTTTGAATTGTCAAGACTATACAACTGGATATAATTGTGATCGCTGTATAGAAGGCTATTACGGAGATCCATTACTTGGAAGTGAAATTGGATGTAGACCATGTAGATGTCCCGATACAATTGCATCAGGTCATACACATGCATCTCAATGCGCTCTTATTCCAAGCTCAAATGATGTAATTTGTTATTGTGAACCAGGATATACAGGAGCTAAGTGTGATGTTTGTGACAATAATTATTTTGGCAATCCCGAAAAACCTGGTGGTTCTTGCAATTCATGTAATTGTACAGGCAATATTGATCTCCATCAATCAGGAAATTGTGATGCGAAATCAGGAAAATGTATGAAATGTTTGTATGACACAGATGGTGATCATTGTGAATATTGTCGTGATGGATTTTATGGTGATGCCGCTAGACAAGATTGTAGAACATGTGAATGTGATGTGTTAGGTACCAAAGCTGGACAACATTGCGATCGCTTCACAGGACAGTGTCCATGTTTACCTAATGTTGTGGGTATGCGTTGCGATCAGTGCTTGGATAATCATTGGAAAATTGCCAGCGGAGAAGGATGTGAAGCTTGTAACTGCGATGAAGTTGGAGCATATAGCGAACAGTGCAATCCGGTAAGAAACTTTTTATTTAAATATTTATTTTCGCATGACTTATTTTTTTTTTAAAGTTCGATGGTCAATGCCAATGTAGACCTGGTTTTGGAGGAAGAGCTTGCGATCAGTGTGAATCAAACTTCTGGGGTGATCCGAATGTTGAATGCAAAGGTAAAATATTTTTTGCACACTTTATACTGATTTATAAGCTCAAGACATTTCTATTTATTATTCTCTGTAGCTTGCGATTGTAACACTTACGGTTCATCAAAATACCAATGTGACCGTGAAACTGGACAATGTTCATGTATTAAAGGAATTGGTGGCTACAAGTGTGATCAATGTGCAAGAGGTTATTTGGGTGAGGCACCATACTGTTCTCCGTGCGGCGAATGTTTCGATAATTGGGATGATATTCTTACTAATTTGAAATCCGAAACCGATGAGATAATTGAGAAAGCTAAGAAAATCAAGACACAAGGTGCGACAGGAGCTTATACCAAAGAGTTTGAAGATATTGAAAAGAAGATTGAAAAGATTCGTGGTATATTAAGCAACACAGTTGTTAGTACAAGAGACATCAAGAAGATTAATGAAAAAATTGACAAGTTGCGCCAGCGTTTAGAAGATTCTGAACAAAAACTTAAGGAAACAGACACAGTTTTGGATAAATTGAATGAGGAAATGAACTTAGCAGGAGCGGAAATCACTAATCTAGAAGAGAAGAGCGATAAAATCAAAGCATTAGCAAATGCATTGAAAGAAAATGCAACAACACTCCAGGAGGCAAACATTGAGGGAGCATTGAACCTTACTCGTGATGCTTACTCTCGTGTACAAGGATTATCTACAATTTATGGAGAAACTACCGATTTAAATTCAGAAGCTGATCGACAATGTAAACGAATTGAAAGTCTTATTACTCGTCAATCTGAAACGGAAGGAGTTTTAGCTACAAACGAAAAACAAATTGAAGATCTACAGAAGAGCTTGGATGAACTTAATGCTGAAATTCCAGACCTAAATGAACAAATTTGTGACAAACGTGGTAATCCTTGTGATTCATTGTGTGGTGGTGCTGGATGTAATAAATGTGGAGGAATTTCATGCGAAAAAGGTGCGTTGACAAAAGCAGAAACAGCATTGAATTACGCCAAAGACACTGAGAAAATAATTAAGGAAAAAGAACAACAAGCTGATGAACTTATTAGATCAGTTTCGCATGCCAAAACAGAAGCTGTCGAGGCTTACAAAAAGGCAAAGGAAACCTTTGATAAAGTTGAACAAACCTTTAATAACACTGAATCTATGTTAGACGAAGGCCGTGGATTAATTACTAGTTTAACAAATATTCTTTCGAATAATACTGCATCACCAGCAGAAATCAAAGAAATTGCTGAGGGTGTCTTAAAACTCGATTTACATTTAGATCCTGATGAAATTAAACATTTGGCAAACGATATAGATAAGACAGTAGCAGAACTAGAAAATGTTGAAACTATCATTGAAAATACACAACATGACTTGGAAATGGTTGAGAAGCTTAAGATTGATGCTGTTGAAGCACAGTAAGTATATTCAAATATTTATTAAACATTTGCTGTTAAAAAATTAGTAATAATTTACAATAATAGAAAGAGAGCAAGTGATGTATTGAAACGTGCAATGGAAGTCAACAAAGCCCTTGAAGAAGCAGAAACAGCACAGGTAATATTTTTTTCAAATTTATATTCAAAAGAAGATGAACATATGTAAATGCGAACGTAAATCACATTTTTTCGCAGAACGCAGCAAGAGATGCCATTAAAAAGGCTAATGATGATATTGCTTCAGCCAAGACGGACTTGGAAGATGTGAGTATTCAATGTCAGTTTATTGAGCGAAACTTGATTGATTTATTCATAAAATTATTAGATAAACACTGACGCAGAAAGTGCTAAGAGCAATGTCGATGAAACAGCAGCAGCTGTTGACAACTTGCAGACCAAATTGAGCAAGCTTCAAAAGAAATTCATCAAAAATACACACGATGCCAAGGAAGTAAAGAGTCAGGCAGATGTTGCAAAGGAATTATCAAGTGTTACTCATGAAAAAGCCAATAAGGTATGCAGATTTTCATAAGTCGCAGTAAGATCCATTCTTAAAATTTTATTTTTTCATATTTAGTTGAAAGATCAATACAACGAAGCCAACGATAAATTGAACTCAAAGGCTCAATCTACAGAATATGCTCGAGAAAAGGCCCAGCAATTACTTCAAAGAGCATTCAAAATCACAGTCGATACAAACGGCAAATTAAAAGAACTTAAAGGTAATTATAGGTAATTTTTGGTTTATGGCTTAAAATTGATAATTACATTTGTGTTACAGAAATGGTCAATATAACATCGTCAAATGATGCTGAACTATCGGAAATGGAACAAAAAATATTGAGACTTAATGGAGAAATTGATGCTTATATTCAACGTATAAGAGATCATGCTGATCGTTACCGAACATGTACTTCCTAAAAAGAAGCTAATCTATTGTTGAACAAAAGATTAGCAAAGTTACAACACAGAGACAATTATTTATGAATAAATTTCCTATGTTCATATTTTTGAAATGTTCAATAGACTTGCCAGTGCCAAATTCTTAAATTATAAGACATCATCGCAAAGGAATCATAACTAATTTTTTTAAAAATTTCATTGTAATTGAAATAGCCTTAATTAGTGATATAAAATGTAGTACCATTGACACAACAATTAGTTTAAAGGAATTTTTTTACTTGAGCTCAAGAAACATATGAGAATCACCGATATTTTTGCCATATATATAATATGTTGATAAAGTGAGACAAATATTTTTAAATAATAATAATAATAATAATAATACGAATAATCAAGGAAAGATGATGAAGTTCCTATTGCCATAAATTTCTCATGAAAACCTCAGTGGTAAAAAAAAATAAATAAAATCCACAAAATGTTTAAACCAAATCCACTTGTTTTATTTTTTGACTGCTGCTTGTCTTCATGATGAAAATTATAACAGTAAGAATTTCATTTACTCTTCTTGCCGATAACTTAATTTCTTAAAGTTACTACTGCCATATATTTTTAATAAAAGAGCTAATAAAAGTGTTTAATTAGCGAAATATTTGTAATTCATTCATAATTTTAAGAGGAAAGAAATAAAAACATTGAAATTCTCTCTTTTTTATTAAACATATAATCTTTATTTTTTCATATATGCATATTCCGATAAAAACGAGTTTTAGAAAAAATAGGAAATGCATTTAATGGACATTGCATACCTTCATATGTGAGCTTACACTCACTGAGGAAAGAAAACGGAAGAGAAAATAAGCAAATGATATGATGTTGTCAACATTAAATAAAAGCATATGAAAATATTATGCAATTTATTAAAAACTATCATGATAATGATTTTAAAAACTTGTAAGTTCAAGTTAGCATCAACCGTGTGTGGACATGTTTTACGTTTTACTATAAACAATTTCTTGTGAAGCTTTCTTGATGTTTCATTTCAATGTTTTGTAAAACATTACTTAAACATTCTCGTTAATAAGCAGTTTATGGAAAGGTTGTCTTGCTGCTGTTGAGTTAGGTTTAGTAAGTTTTCTTCATTCACATAATAAACATCAAAACTGTGCAAAATCTTCTAAGACTTATTTTTGTTAAAGTGACGTAATAATTACCAATAAAAAAATAAATTTGCTGAAAGGAATAATTGTTGAAGATTTGTTAAAATTTATAATAAAAATGACATGAATAGTTTAATAGATTAAGAAACAAAAGAGTTTAACATTAGTGACCCAATATTGGAGAAAATCAATTTCTCGTTTTTTGAATTTTGAGAAAAAAAAAAGAGTTAAATACATTCACGACATTTACAGACATTGAGATATACTCTATAAAGAAATTCCACCACACTTAACTGCAAGTTAATTGACGATTTCCAAATCTAAAAATTCGTATTATTTTGTTCATAAAAAAGAAACATCAGAGTAATGGACGGTGAAAAAAATGTCAAAGCTATTGATGGGATATACAAGGTAATTTTCTTGATTCTTGTTCAATACGTGAAATGTATATAATAAATATATATTTTTAAAAGTATAATTCAATGAATGAAAAGAAAAGAAAATTAAAGGAATGCTTTGCTGCCGCACCTGCAAGGTTTCATAAGATCTAGCATTCCTGTATTTTACTAAACTCATACTCTTATAGAAAATATTTATTTAAAGCATATTTTTGCCAATACTGGATTCTTTAAAAACGCTTTGATGACTGGCCTCCTATCGCTTGTCTGGATAATATATTCAAAGCTATAAAATCTATGCCTAATTGCATACACGTTTCTTTTGAAAGGTTCCGGTTAAAGTTTGTTACATGGTGCTGATTATATTTAGATTGGAAAACCTCCCTTTATTAAATTTCATGAAAGTTTGACTAATTTGTAAAGTTGTTGGCTATAATATGACATGAAAGCTTAAAATTGCTGTTTTTGAATTAATTAAGGTCTAATAATTAATTCATTCATAAATTATGTCCAAAAGTAGGATCTAAACCATCCTCACATTCCTTCTCTGTATTCTTTTTCGATTTAAATGTCGTACATCACTAGTGAACGACCACTAAGTGCTCTTAATTTTTTCGCAATGAACTTGATCAAAATTTTTGTAGATTCAAAGCTACTGCAAATCAATAGATTTCCATAAAAAAAATATTCATGAAGAAGAATCGTTATGACCGTGAAACTTGAACCAATTTTCTGTGTTGATCACCGGCAAAAATGCGCTTGAATAATGAATCCCAGTGAATTGTGTACTAGTTTCTTTATTATTTATTACTATTAGATGACTTGAAAAATTATTTATGTTGCTTGTACGATTTACAGAACATCCTTGAAAAATTCAACCCTGAATCTAAAAAAATGTTGATTAATGCTAAGGCATATTTGAAAGCTCTTCACAGCTCATCACAAGCCTCAAAAATATTTGCTGATTCCCTTTCAAAGATCGCAAGAAATGCCAGAGAGTCTACGCAAGGAACGTCAGATATTGGTAAGAGACTAGATCACTCACGGAATATTAATATTTGCATGTTTAATTTTTTTTTTGTAAGAAAAAATTTATGTATATATTATATGTACATAGGAAAGCAAGCAAACTGGTTTTAAGAAATCTGTAAATGTTTCATATATATATATATAAATTTTTTAATAAAAACAAAAAAAAATATATGTGCATACATAAGAGAAATTAGCTACGAATTAATAACGGAATTTTAAAAAAATTCGCGTATTTAAAATATCTCATTTTCAATGTTATAGGTTCAGCGCTAATGGAAATCATAGATATTTTCAACTTTATTGAGGAGCAGCATATGAGCATTGTAAGAAACCTTTTCATTCAAACAAACACACACAATTGACAACATTAATTAAATATTTGTTTATTTATGTTATGTTACCCCCCACGAAAAATTACCATAGCTTAAGGCATTTTATGTCGATTTTATATGCCCATTGGAAACAAATTTGGATAAGGACATTAAAGTAATTCAATTAGAACAGAAAAAATTTGCCCAGCAATTCAAAATGAAAATGGAAAGTTTTGATAAAGGTAAAACGTGATGAAAGTTATTTGACATTACAAAAAGTAAACATCAATATTTTTTTCTACTTCTCCCATTAAGCAACTGCTGCTGTAAAGAAAAACAGAAAGAAAAAGAATAACGCTGAAAGGGAATTGAAGGTAGATAGTGAAAATATTATTATTATGCTTCTCATTGTTACCATAAACGATTGACACATATTTTCCATCAATAACAGTGTATTCAAATACTTGAAGATGAGAAGAAGAGTTTGGATAACTTTTGTGATCAGAGTTATAAAAATGCGGTGCTACAAGAACGTCGAAGGTTGTTTTTTCAAAGAAAAAAAAAATAAATAATTTCTGTACTTAATGGCTAAAAATCTCACATACAATTACTATTTTTCAATAGATATGGATTCATATTGGAACGTTATACAGAAAGTGTTGCAAAACATTATCTCCATTTCTTCAACAATAGCTTTGCAACTATCGACAACAACATACAACGGTGGAGCGATATTGCTTCAACTCGCGAAATGTTTATGCCTTCGCCCATTATTAGTAGCAATATTCTGCCAGAAAAGAACAATGATAATCGCATTTTTAATGACATGAACCAAAGAACAAGCATGGAAAGAGAGAGCTTAAGCGTGAGTGATGAAAGTGTATCAAATTTGTCAATTGCTAATAAAACAAATGACATTGAAACTGTCCGATCACGTTTCTCAATGGACTCGTTGGCAACAAGTCAAAATAATCGTAACATAGTTTATGCATTGTATGGACATTCCGCTACTAGTGAAAATCAACTAAATTTCTCTGAAGGAGATAAGTTATGCTTAATCGGAGAAAATTTGAATGGTGAGAAAAAACATGTCTTAATTATTAATAACATGCTGATATGATTAAAAACAATAACTAGGTTGGCAATTTGGTGAAAATCTTACAACAAAATTATTTGGATGGTTCCCATCTTCATATGTTGACATGAATTTACAAAGGTATTTAGTGAATTAATTTTTTCTTCTTCTTGGCTCTTTTTTTTAATTCGTACGTGTTACATTATTTCCTATCTTTCTCTTTTGTTGTGTTTTTAATTCTTTTGGATGTTAAGAAATGGAAAAGAAAGTGAAACAGATGGCGAAATTAATAATAACAATAAATATCAATCGGTGAGCAAACAAAGAAAATTCCAAAATCCACCTATGGCACGACCACCATCACCACCATTGCAGAATGTTACAATGGTAAATTAATTTGTGCATTCTACCATTACTACCTGATTTAATCCACACAAATATTTACATTTTCTTATCTTCATTCCTACTTCTAATGAAAAGGATGTACAGAAAAGTATGCGTGGAATGTATAGCAGTAATGATAGCGGTTTCTCAAATGAAATAGCACCAGTTGCACCAGAAGTTGATTATTCAGATGATGAAATTCCGCAAAAAGTTCCAATCAGGTAAGATTAGACTTGTTATTTGTCAATTATCATAATGTTGTGTCATAGTAGTGCTAATTTCTTGAGTATTGCTAATAATTTTCATTGTCATTTCGCAAAAAAGAAAACCTGCCGAGAAACCAGTGCAAAAACAAACGAGTGTCGTGAAAAATGAGAATGTTATGAATAAAGGACAGTCAAATAGTTATGGTGACTTAACGATAGATAGAACAGTGGGTAGAAATAAAGCATTTTGGCGATTTAGTAAATCTGAAGATGTTTTGGAAGGGATGGGATTATGGAAACATAGGGATTTATTACCAATAGATGGTGATGATCATGATAGAACTTTAAAGAAACAACCAGCAGAATCATCAAAAAATAAGAAAAGACTCAGTGAAAAACCCTTGCCAAAAGAAATGGATAACAGTAACAAAATTGTTAACACGAGAGAGAAGATGCAAGATGACCACGAAATGAATATCACAGAAAGCTTGTACGATGAAGCACCCAAAAGAAGAAATCATGCCGCTCCGACTCCAATGAATATGCATAATGAAAAGCATTACTATAAAGAGATTCAAGACACAAATTTTTATGATGATGACGATGAAATATTAATGAGAACAGTGAAACGAAAAGAAATTTTGAAGCAATATCATTCAAGCGAGACCGATACTGAAGAAGTCTCTGTTAATTCAGATCCTTATGATTGCATTTTTGTGAATGATCACTTAGTGCCTCGCTCAGAGATTAACATGAGTAAACAAAATACTCTTCTTCCACGTACAAAACTTTCTAAAAGTAAACATTCGCATGATAACGATAACACGATCAAAAGTTCGTCAAACTCTGCAGTGCGAAAGAATAAAACTTTTGAACCATGGCACAATATGTGGGATGATGAGCGAAAGGAAATTGTCAAGTAGTTAATTGAATTTATTTCTTGTTTGTTTCTTTGTTTTTATACCACATTATTCATTGATTCATTTACTTCTTTATTGAACCTTATTAGTACATAATGTATTTCTAATAATGTGCCAAATTATCCTGTACATGTATGCATGAATATATAAAAATCTGAAGTTTTAATTATATTATTTTATATATACTCGTTTGATATTATTACAGTCCATTTGATCTATACTCAGCAACGTTAAAATTGAAAAAGACAAATTTAATTAACGATCTTTCAGCACCTGCTTTAAAGTAAATGTTACTTTTTTACTTATTGAAGAATTTGTACGGAAAATAAATTGAAAATATTAATAAAGTTATTTTTTAAACAAATTGAGATTTTATCATTCAATACTTCATCAATTTAATGAATCTTGATCATCACATAGCCAACGAGGAACCAATTTATTATGACTTGTGCACTCTACAACACTGCGAAGTTCAAAAATCTCGAAATACTGCAATGACGTCATTACAATTTGACTGTGACCTTGCTGCTGTTTCAATTTTATATATCTCGACAAAATAATTGAACATAATAATTTTTTTATAGGCGTGCCAATCTCAACTGACAGTTTATAATAAAAAATATTCTAGGCATTGGAAAAAAATTCTAACAGCTAACGACTAGTTAATGGATTTTGGTTGCGAAATTCCATAAATTTTCATTTTAAACAAAAGACATTAAGGCCGTCAATGGACTGACTGATCATTGATTTTTATTTTTATATGTGAAACTCGTAAGATGGGATTAAAATTTTTTACATATGTAAAACAAAAAAATAAATTCCAGAGTTAATTTCTAAAGCAGAAAATTTTCGCGATAAGGCGTGAAACTTGGTAGTTTTGGAGAAACGAATTGTTTAGGAGCATTCGCGAATGATGTCGAAATAATTAAAAAATTTCATTTTATAATTTACATCATTTTTGACAGCTCAGTACCACAAAGGTTAACATTGTATTTAAACGCTACTTGACATTATGAAATATTTCATAAATCATTGCGTATGTTAAATTTTAAGCTACAAACAAAAGATGCATGATGTTAACACGCGAAAACTTAAAATGATCATATTCATTTTTATTAATTGTGTATCAAAAAATAGGTTTTAAAATTTTTGAATTCTCATTAATTACCTTCAAAAACAGCAGACTCCTAAATTTAAGTGTCAATTGTGGCCATGAGCTATTCAAAAAATTATACAATTCTATTTGAATGTGATATCCTTAGCTCTGTAGAATCATGCATGATTCATAATATTTTCTTCGTTATAGGCATATTAATCAAATGATTCATAAACTCTTCGTTTAAGAGAACCTGTTAGGAATGAATACAATGCAAGACCGTTAATGTGGATTGAGAAGCATGCAACGTTTGAATGGAGAGCTTAAAGAAAAAGCTTGAAAAATATTTTAAATCAACGACATAGAGGTAGTGCTGAAGTCTGTACAAAAACAAAACACTTTTAGTATAGTACATTTTACATTTTTTTCTTTCAAAAATACAATAATTTAAGAAAATATTTATCTTCATTACATTCAATAAAACTCATTTCTATTTAAATTAAAAAATTGCAAAAATCATTTATAAAGACATAATTAGAATTAGTGCATTAGTAATTAGGAAGAAGGACCAGCAAATTATTTTTTCTTTACAAAAAAATTTACTTCTACCATATCATTAAAAACTTAAACATTTACTTAATAATTTATTTGAAAATCAGCAAGTTCCTGGAATATTTTTACACGAAAAGAGATTTTGTTTTGTGACTGTTTGTTTTCTTGAAGGAATTAACATTTTCTTATAAAATATGAAAAATAATTAGGTCACATAAGTTGTATACACGATAAAGAAAACAAATTATGGAATTGAAAGTCTGGGTTGAAGGAATTCAAAGAATTGTTTGTGGTGTAACCGAATCAACAACTTGTCAGGTAAACTAAACTGAATTTAGATTTTCTTTTTCTTTAATACTACATGCTACTGCATATTCGTATTGATTTTTTTTTTAATTTTCAGGATGTGGTGTTTGCACTTGCCCATGGTATGTGATTTCATATATTCAAAATTTATGATAAAATATTCAAGTTCAATTTATATTTCTTATAGCGACTGGGAAAACTGGAAGATTCACATTGATAGAGAAATGGAGAAATAATTCCAGATTATTAGCACCTACTGAATCTCCATTAAAGGTATACGATAAACATATGCTAATATTTGGAGAAAGCTTATTATCATCATGTCTCATGATTATTGATTTTTTTTTAGATTTTGAATAAACTTGGTGAATATTCGGGAGAAGTACAATTTATTCTTCAAAAGTCAGAGAAGTCAGTACAGCAGGCAACTGAAAATAATGTCGGTGAAAATGCTGAAAAGAAATCTCCTCTAGATAAAACAAAAAAGGCCATAAAGTAATATCAAAATTTCCATATTATTTTTATGTGTTGCAAAATTTTTGTTTTTTTATTGATTTTAGTGAAAACGTTGGAATAGTAAAACCACAGTATCAACAACAGCAGTCAAACGAAAATCTCGATAGCACAAATAAAATTGAATCTTCTTCGCCAGAGAAATTGCAACTTAATACTGAAAATTCAACAGATGCTTTTATTAATCAAAAATTTAAAGTTAAGAATTCGCCATCTCCCGTAACTTCGCCAATTGGAATTTCTGGATCTTTAAATCCTCCCCCTTATCGTAATCCACCTTCACCGGCAAAACAATTTCAACTTCCTAATTCGTCTAAAACTATCGAATCTAATAATGGTAGCAATAATATAGAGGTTCTTAATTCCCCAATACAATCAAATGATGATCTTTTACATACTATTCAATATAAGGATTTGATACAGCTTATTAAGCTTCAAAGAGATAAAATTATCAATCAACAAAATGATTTAACAAAAGTAAGTTTTTTGTGCATTCACTTTTATTTGAAATTAAATTTTAATATAATTTTCGTGATTTTTATTTCCATACTCAAGTTTGATGCTGAAATAGTTTATCTTGAAAGCAAAAGTAGAGAGCAGCTTCAGCAGTTTGAATTAATTTCTAATGAACTGACAAAAACGGACCAAGCATATAGACAAGGAAATGACCAAGTAAGAAATGTGTAAATTATATTTTAATGAATGAAAATCGAAATCAACACACGAAAAAGTTATTCACAGATTTTTTTCCGTAAATGATACAATTATTTAAATATGTTGATTTTACACTATCTTAATGAGTGGTGTCTGAATTCTTCTTGTCTGCGGCATATTAACGGAAAATTAATTGCAATTGTGTTGTTTTCAGTATTCTCAAAATTTTATAGTCAAGTTATTGTGGCTTGCTACTTAGTGGTGCAAAAGAGTTCGTTCATCAATTACATCCATTATAATAATGTGGGGTCTGAAATTGTCAGACAAAATGTTATAAAGTCGTAGTGGTTGAAAATCCTGATTTATGATTAACTTCATTTGTAAATCACTCTATATTTATTAAAAATTGTGACTTCAAAAATTGCTATAAGAAGACTCGATTGAATAGCTTTTAGGGTTTAAAAGAATTCTCATATCTTACAAATGAAGTTTATTTTCAGAAAATATATTCAAAGGAGTGATTTGAAACCTCATGAAATATCGAGAATAATAATCTAAAACAAAGTTGTTTGGAAAAATTTCATTTGACAATCCTTTGCATATTTGACATGAATTGTATTATGGTTTTCAATCCCGGGATTGAAATATATGTAATCCCGGGATCAAACGCAGGATTCAGTACATTTTAATCCCAGGATTGATGATTGATGATTAGTTCCTATTGATCCACTGTGAATCGTAGGGTGTTAATAAAGCGTTTGAACAGGTTTCTGTCCCTGGCTATAACAGCTACTTCTGCTGGTTTCTGCTAAATTGTATACTTACTAGAGATCTAAAAACCAATCTCAATATAAAACATTTTACTATAAACGTATGTACAGTACCGTTCAAAACTGTTTCCATGTTTAAAGAAAAAATTTCTTTTCAACATATTTATTATAAACTATTACATTTTCCCAACATGTTATATATCGTTTTAAAGCTTGTTTAATAAGCTATTTAAAAACGATAAGCAACTTTGGAAAATATTTAATTAAAGTAGATTTTTTGCTTAAAATATACACTGTCACATGGAAACACTTTTGAGCTGATAATTGTTTTTCCAAAATTTGAAACAAAGCAGAACTAATTGGTTATAGTTTTTTATTATAGTAAAAAGCAATTAAAATATAAGATAATAGCACATAAATTAAGTTGATAGACATCGTTAAAATATTTAAATAAGAATGTCAAATCACTTGATAAATTTTCATATAATTATGCAAAAAATTACTGAATTAAAGCCAAATGTTGTGATGTTTGCATCTAAACAAATGTATTTTAGCTTATTAAAGCTGAAAAATAGTTTTTAGTTGTAAATAAAAGCATTTGAAAGCAAAAAAATTAATAATATTTCATGGAAGCACTTAAATTTTCACAAATATTCAAAAATTTTATTACTTTGCCCACTTCAAACAACTTTAATCGCTTTTTCTGATAGATTTTATGTTAACAAAGAAAACCATATATGATTTATGTAGTCATTGTGAGAGGAAAAGGATTTTTTTACAATTTTGTTGGTCAATGACAGACATATTCAAAAAATTTATAAGCATTTATAAAAATTCAATTTTTTTACGTAAATATCGACTTTTGACAATCCAAAATGATCAATAATCATTATAAATTGGATTTTTAAATTATTTACGTAAAAAATTGAATTTTTTATAAATGCTTATAAATTTTTTGAATATGTCTGTCATTGACCAACAAAATTGTAAAAAAATCCTTTTCCTCTCACAATGACTACATAAATCATATATGGTTTTCTTTGTTAACATAAAATCTATCAGAAAAAGCGATTAAAGTTGTTTGAAGTGGGCAAAGTAATAAATTTTTTGAATATTTGTGAAAATTTAAGTGTTTCCATGAAATATTATTAATTTTTTTGCTTTCAAATGCTTTTATTTACAACTAAAAACTATTTTTCAGCTTTAATAAGCTAAAATACATTTGTTTAGATGCAAACATCACAACATTTGGCTTTAATTTAGTAATTTTTTGCAAAATTATATGAAAATTTATCAAGTGATTTGACATTCTTATATAAATATTTTAACGATGTCTATCAACATAATTTATGTACTATTATCTTATATTTTAATTACTTTTTACTATAATAAACAAACTTTAACCAATTAGTTCTACTTTGTTTCAAATTTTGGAAAAACAATTATTAGCTCAAAAGTGTTTCCATGTGACAGTGTATATTTTAAGCAAAAAATCTACTTTAATTAAATATTTTCCAAAGTTGCTTATCGTTTTTAAATAGCTTATTAAACAAGCTTTAAAACGATATATAACATGTTGGGGAAATGTAATAGTTTATAATAAATATGATGAAAAGAAAATTTTTCTTTAAACATGGAAACTGATGGAAACAGTTTTGAACGGTACTGTAATTTTCACTATACCATCAAAAACAATACTAGCAACTATTTTATAACTTTATGTAATGTGTGAATAACTACATGGTATCAAAATTTTAAATAATCTGCTAACAAGGGATTAATCAAATTAATACCTCATACAATTCACATGAACACCATTTCATACTCATGATTTTCGGACATATAATTTAGACAGCACAATTACCGAAATTTCAAGCAGATTTTCCAAATTCATACATCAAATCATTTCAGCTTCAAACTTTACAATACGTTGAAGAGGAAAATGAACTAGTACACCAACAGGAAAAATCATTGAAGGCAGAAATAACATTATTACGATCTAAATTGGGAATATTAGAAACGGAATTGCTACAATGCAAAAATAAGATCAAAAAACTTATGAATGATTTACAATTGGAACAAAAGAGTCTCTCGCAGCAACAAGAAAATCACCACATTTTGGAACAAAAGTTAATGACTGAAGTTGATAGAATACAATCAGATATTGATTTTGTTATGCATTCCAATGAAAGGTAGATAACATGATTTATATTATGTTGCTTGTTAAATTAACTAATGGCTTAATTCTATCAATAAATAGTACACAAAAAACAACAGACTCGCTGAAAAAAGACGTATTGATGTTAGAGATGTCAATAGTAGAAAAGAAGAAGCAATTAGAAAAATTGGTTCACGAAATGAAAGAAGTAAATCTTCAAAGTCTTACAGTAACCACGGAGGATCATCATTTATTTTATGATGGTAAATTTATCATATTTTTATTTTTTTAAAATAATAATTTCGCTCATTATACGATTTTTTCATGCGAAAATAATAATTATTTATCTAGGTTCTGGCAAAAGAAGAATGATTGGATCTCCAAGACAGTTAGTAAATGCACCTGCTCACGGTGTTTGGGTTTAAGAAATTTTTAATAGTGCAATTGTAAATGAATGAGAATCAAATTTATTCCTTAAGCTAAAATTACATTCGAATTAAAAAATATTATAGAGAGAAAAAGATTATATTATTAGAAAAGAAATACACAAGTACTTAAAAAAGTTAATTGTGTCTTTTATTTGTATGATTTTTAATGAATTTCCTTTTCAACAGTCAGAGTTGCAGCTCATGTGATCAGGTTTTTACAAATATTTTAAATTTCAGACAAATTCTTCAATTGATTCCAACAAACTTCCTTATTTCAATTTATCCATATATAGTCCAGGTCATAGCATGTCTGGTTCTAATTAGTTGAAAGATCTTTATTCTGCCTTCAACACATATTTTCATTTAAAACACATTAAACAATACGTTTTTATAATCTTTATGTTATTAACAATCAAGCGATTTTCCAAATTTAACAACTATCTATTTCTATTGCAATTATTCAATTACTATCTCGAACTTGATCTATAGAAAATCAATTTTGTAAATTAAGAGAAGATCAAAAAAGTTAATCTCAATTTAAAGAAAGATAATAAAATGGAAAATGTGGTAATTTCAGTAATTCCTACAATTAATTAATACGTTTTTGTTAATATATGAAACCAAATAATCATTTGTCGATTATTTAGCGCATATCGAGAAAACAATTATCTACTATGGTCAAAATGAACAGCTACGTGTTTCTTACATCAAGTTCTTAGGATTAGTAAATACTTATAAATGAAAACATAATGCTTTGTATACACGACCATGTCGAAATTTTAAATTAAACAAGTAAATAAGCCACTTTAGATTGACCAAATTATTCTTCATTGACTAGACCTAATGCGGATGAAGTAGTAAATAGAATGTGTAGTGCTAATTGAATATTCTTAAGCACTACAACTCGAGGGTCTACTTGAATTGGAATTTTCTGCATAATTTCCAAAATGAGGGGCGCTATTGATAGCACTTTTGTCCATCCGTTTATTTTTAAGTTTCAGTCCATTGCATATCCATTCAACTTTTTTGTAGCTTAACATAGGGGCCGTACACTTATTACGTTACGCAAAAAAACGACCTTTTTCACCACCCCCCCTCCCCCCTTGTTAGAATATGTTACAACTCACAACACCCCCCCCCCCCCCCTGAACGTTCATAATTTATTTTACCATTAAAAAGGTGAAAAATTTAAAAAAATGTTTTTGGTTTGAATTTGTAAACAATTTTTTTTCGTGAACTTTTTTTTAAACGACAGCAACAGTTAGAACGTTACATACTTCTTGACAACCCCCCCCCACCCTATGTTACCTTTTGTTACAATTTTTCAAACCCCCCTCCCCCTTAAAATGCGAACGTAATAAGTGAACGGCCCCATAATTGTTCAATTTTATGATTTTGAGTAACTTCTTTTTGTGTTTTGTACATTCGATCATGTATGAAAAATTCCAAATATATTTATTATGTGGAATCTTTTGATTCTTTATCAATCTTTCATGAATAATCTAGTCTCCTATTGAGCATAACAGGAGAATTTGGAGATCTTAAATTGATTTTAATATGATCTTGCTAAATAGATTCTTACTAGACTTTCACAAAAGTTCTGCTAGATTTTTGAAATTTTTACCAAATTCAGGTTGATAAAAACAAATCTTTAATCTATCATGTCAAATTAAATTTTAGCTTTAGATTTACAAAACTGAAACAAAAAAGCGAGTGAGATCCTCAATACAAAGATTAATTAATTTTTCAGCAGGTCATCAATTGCAACAAACTTTCCGACACAACTTAATGAAAATAGTAAGGTTTTTTTGGCTTCTATTCAGCTAGATATTCACAAAGATAATCCTATCTCCGATTACAGTAAAAGTCACAACCCTCAATTAGATTTTTTATTCCTTCAATAGAATTAAATTTGTTTATATCATGAACTTTGTTGCACACAAAGTACAAAGTTTAAGTTCTGGTCATTCATGTTGGCGAGGTAAATGCGCTAAAGTCATCTCGTGTTTATAGAGACCATTTCATTATTTATTAATGAGATTTCTAAGTAGGTATTTGCAGTCAATGAAATTAAAACAATTCAGTGAAAGAGTAAACGAATAAGTAAGGATATTTGCGATGGAAATGCAAATACCAGCACGTACAATAACACGTACATTCACTCTTTTTTTTTCTTGGCCTTTGTTGATTTTAAGCTGAAAATAATGATATATTCATTTTCGTGTGGATCACTGTTGTTTAAATTTCACATGTGATTTCTACCCGCTGATCGGTTGAGTGAGAAAAGCTGTATGTTGAGCAATTAAAAGTAAAAGCTTTAAGTTTACTTTCATGAAAAATCCAAAATCATATTAAATCATGCAGATAATAATAAGTATAGGAATTAAGAGTAAAAAGACCCACCATTGTTTTCTAATGTATTATTTTTATTAATTAAACTTTATTTGAAATGCATTGAAAAAGAAATGAGTATTAAACAATTCAATATGTGAAAAATCCATAATGATTACGGAATAATATTTAGTAAAACAATAAAAAAATTATGTATTAACCATTATTCATCTGATGTGAAAGTTGTTTCAAAAGAAATTTTCACGATTCCATAAAATTAGTAATCAATGCATTAAATTTTTTTTCTGCCTGCCTTCCTTTTTTTTCGTGAATCTAAGTTTGTTAAAATCATTTTATGCTTAAGTCATTTAAATAATTACCACAAAGCAGAAGCAAATCCACCTAAATTAAACGGAAACAATGGAAAATTAGAATCAGCAAAATGTTTACTTTAAATAAGAAACGAATGAGATAAATCCTGCATTTCTGATGCGTATAATGGAGAAGAATCTTTTATTCTAAAATTACTAGTAATGACTTTTTCGTCATGCTTGAATGAAGCACGAAAAATTCTTTGATTCTTATAAGCTGTCGTTCACAAATGATGTCCATACTTCAGAAACAAAGCGATTTTGGCATTAATTTTCTTTGTTAAAGTCCCGATTTGAATCCAGAGAACTAATAGATCGAAACTTAATACCCGAATTCAATGTTCTAGTCATTGTAAACAGCGATTGAATTGACAAACGTAATTCAATATAAATTGTGAACAACCCCCAGAAATGAAGGATTAATCAATTCAATTAATATTATTTCAATTTACCTGGTGGAACGCGATTTTTCAATATTTGATGATTTGTAGATCCATTTTCAGAGATTGATGATTTGCTAATATCAGATTTTGAAGACATTTGGACTGTAAATATTAAGACATGATTATTAATCATTGAATAAAGTGGCGTTAATTATGAAAACGAAACTAATGTCAATTTTTTAAAGAAAATAAATGGTAAATTATATTCCTGAGCTGCACATTGCTGCACTATTACATACTATTACATAATTCAACATAAATGGTAAAATTTTGGAAGTCCAACACAAAAAAATATATGTAGATAATGAAAAACATTCTTGTTTTATGTGTGCCTTAAATTCAAACCCATACAACGCAACATAACATTAAACATATAATGCATGAAAAGAATTTATGTTGTTGATTGAAAACAAAAATTTTGGAAATGAGTCGGAATTGAAATAAAAAAAAATGAAAGAAAAAAAAGAAAGAAAAACAAATCAAGAGAGTAATGAATGCATGATTTGAAAGAGACTTTATATTGAATCTGTTTCGTAATTTACCTGTGAGATTTTTTGGTACTTTGCTATGGTTATTTAAATCGATTGTACTAATCAAAGGCGTAACATAGTTCATATTTTCATCAAGCTCATTACTTTCTCTTTCATTTTCATTTATTTTTAAATCAGATGGATTTCTGTTGTTTTCGTCATCGACAATTGAAATGTAATCGTCATTTATACAAAAATTAATTTTAGAATTGTAAGTTGGATTTAAATAGTGTGTAGTTTTATATAAATTTGATTCATGACCGTAAAATTTGTTGGAAGATTCGAAATTATCAGTTGCATGACTATGATATTCATTATAGTCATCACCTATATAGAAAAAGACATTGTAAAGAATCACGATTTTCAAGTTCGAAATGAAGTTAATAAAGTGTAACGTTCATATAGAGCTAGGGAGCAAAAGGAAATTGCTAAAAATCAGAGAATAGTCTCGCATCAATAAATTTAAATTTGAAAACTATTAAAAAAATTTCTACTACACACATTTATATGAAAAATGGAAGACAAAAAAAAATTGGATGTACTTTTTTTCCTCTATATCATTAAAATCGTGTATTTGTTGTTTTTTTATAAATTATAAAAAATTCGTCATTACCTGCATGTTTTCCATTCATTCCATTTTCTTGATCAAAGTGGCCACCATTTGAATGCTTTGTTGATCCATCTACACCCTCTTCACCGCCAATTGGAATACTGCTTTTAAAGTGATTCTTAGCTGGTGTTGACATACGATCAACATCTCCAAACAAACGATTATGAGAGTCGACGTGTTGACGACGTGCGTCTCCTAGAGTCATTAATAAACAATATAATAAAATATAATCTTGAAATGTGCAAATTTGTGAAAATTGTCGATTAATTACTTAATAAGCCTAACAACTTGATAACTTTTATTTTGAGTATTTGTGTAAGCATTACAATTAATTACATGGATTGTTCTAGATACGTTTATTTCCATGCATTAATGTCGTGGAAGTAATAAAATTTTTGAACTTGAATTTGAAACAATAAAAAAGTGTTCTAGTCGGTATGAATGTTAAGAATGGAAAAGGATGTGTGAAGTATATAATGCTTAGTTCTTTTGTTTATTGCGTAAACTTATTAAAATGTAAGTAAATATTAGTATATTTCATTTAAATGTGTTTGAAATTTGATATAATATCGTATATAGTATATTATACCCATGTAAAAATAACGATGAAGTCCTTGAAGAACTAGAAAAATTCATTAATAAAAAATTACAACATAGCATTAAATAGGGGCCTGAACTATCCTTCGTATTCTTAAGAATATTTTATTATTATTACTCAAAAGTCTATAAATTACCGTTCTTATTTGTTGGTGATGGTGCTGAAAAAATGTTCGATTTCATGTGGTTTTTGATGGAACGAGGAGTAGTTTGAACATCTCCTGAGAAGATATCACTACTTCCACCACCTAATTCGTGAGTAGAGAGAAAAGATTGCAATTATGATTATCAAAATATATCGATGATGAAAGCAAAATGATTATTTACCTGGAGGTTTCAAAACTCTACACATTGTTGAAGAAAAGAAAAGGAAGAAAATGAAGAAAAAAATTGGAAAATTAACAACTATTAACAATGCGATTAAAAAAGAGAAAAGTAAAAAAAAAAATCTGAAATTATCGTTTGTTAATAAATGCGATAAAGTCATTCTCTCGACCCAAATAATATAAATAGTTTTTTTCTCTGTATAATGGCATTATATACATTTTAGTTGGTAAATCAATAATTAAAGAAGAAATTACTAAATTTCGGTTGTAAGTAGAAGGTTCTCCCGCAAAAAAAGAAATGAAATAATAAAAATCAAACTGCGTGTCAACCATCATCAAAAGTTTCTTGGTTAATTCATTCATGAAGGTTAATGTATTAACATAAATAATAGGGAATATAGTAGTCTAGAACCTTAAGTATCCGCTTTTCTTTTCTCGCTTTCTTATTTTTCGGCAAAGAAAAAGAATAAAACATAAGCGAGAACCTTGATTTTTCATCTATTATCGTTGACAGATATAATTTCAATGCCTTTGATATTGTTTTCGTGATACATGAATTGAATGTAGCTTTGGTTGGAATTTGTTACCAGAAAGGAATGGGAAATATGATTTTTAACCTTTTTTCAAGACGATTTATATATATTTATTTTTTTATCATATAGCTCACGCCACTAAGAATATGTTTTCATTTTAGTTTTTCTTTTTGACTTCCTTGTGAAATGTCTTTGAATGGTACGGCAAACGCAAAACAAAAAGTTTTAGTGAATTTATTTTATTTGAAGACTTGAAGTATGAACCCAATTTATGGAACCAACAAAAATAAATTCAATGTTCCATCGATATTAACATTTTTTATCTAAATTTTCTTTTGATTAACAAAACAGTTATAAAGTTAAGTTTGTGTATAAAATGAAATGCTCTGCTACTCCGAAAGCTGTTGAATGTTACAGTTTTTCGACTTTTTCGTTATGCTTTTTTGCACTTTCTTCACAAAGATTAATTTTTTGAAACTGTTTTTTTTATTCAGCAATTTGCAAATGTGCAAAATGTAATTAAAATTATTTTACTTTGAATTACAAATTCAATTCAATTGGGAGCGATCATAAAGGAGAAATTTAACATTTCTTTTGATTAAATTACACTGAGATTAACAATGATGATACAAACCTTTTCTTTCCACTTCCGATGTTATAAAGTTCAACGTGTTTGAATGCAGCGTAAGTTGCCATTTCGTAATATTATCAATTTATAAATGTAACGATCGAATATCTATGCAGAAATGCACGAGACTTGAATTACTTTACACAAAAGATTGATTAGAATGTAAAAGAATTTTTCGGGAGCACTAATAAATCAATAGAAAAAAAGTTTGTAGTCAGGGAGAATATTTTCGAAATAAATATGCACTGTAAGTGCAATGGGGTCACTTATTTGTCTTCACTTTAAGCGATAATACAAATGCTTTTTAGAATTAAAAATAATGAATGGGAAGGAAGAGGAAAATGTGTATCGATTTTCACTGGATTAAGGAGTTTAAAATTTATGCATCGAAATTTCTCCCTTCAATAATAGTGCTATTAACCTCAGACGAGACTTTATTTTAAAAAAAATTCTTATACCTTCTAAAAGGGTATGGAAGTAGTTTATGTTTTATGCTCACCGGCACTACACGCTTGCACAACTTAATATAAACTAAAATTCATTTTACTTCCCGATACATTTTATACAGAAAGCTTTATGAGAAAAACCGACATTTACGCTCAAAAGTTTCTCGTGGAAAATATTTGAGAGAAGAAAAAATAGTGAAAAATAAATATGAGAGAAATTTTTCTTTTTATAATAGTTTCAAGCTAAGCAAGCTGCAGAACATATTTCAATAATCACTTCTTCTTTAGCGAGAGATTAAACTTTTTATAGAAAAATTTACGCTATTCGCTTATCGCTAGATATTTGTTACTTCAAAAATAATTTTCTTGTTAACTGTATGCAATTAAAAAGAATGCTCACTGTGTGTGAAAGTCTCAGTTTTCAATTATTCCTCAATCATACCTCTTTGATTTCCAACAGCTTCAACGAAAGTTTTTAAAAAAAACACATTAAATTGTTATTTCTCTCTTCAATGTGTGATTAATGATCTTCTTACAATTTCTTTACAACCGCTTTCTTGTGTAATGTTCTTATCAACGCCTTCTGGTTCATATCATCATTGTTGTTATTATTTGTATACAACATTAGTGTATTATTTATATATATTTTTTTTATTTCTGTCTTTCTTTCTTCTTCAAAGGAGGAAGTGATCATGCACACAGACAAATCTATTTTTTCTCTATGTTTTCGTTTTGAATTTGAATGCACGTTTTAAGTACATTTAGATGCAGGTAAAAAGTAAATGGTTAGAAAGTACATGGTCAAAATAAAATAAAAACTACACATATAACACACAGAATCCATTATTCATTCTTTTTTGTATATTTGTACATGTATTGTGCATAAATGTCTTCTCTTTAGATAATAACGGTAAAAGATATGTTCGGAATGTTATATATAATTTCTTAAATTTTTATTTTTTTCTGAATGAATATATTAATAAAAAAATGTAAGCTTATATTTGAATATCCTACTAAAAATTCTCTAAAATTCGTACGTGTGGGACTATATGAATTTTAATTTCGCTCATTATACTATTACACTTACTATTGTAAACTGTAACGTTTATTAACTTTCTGGAAATAACTTCCAAATTCTATGTTAAACTCTTTCATAATTACAGACAGACTTATTCAATTGTACTTACTTTGAAGAATTCTTTTGTGAGATAAATCCGACTTGAAAGTTGGTCGACATTTTTACCTAAATTATTTGAATATTTTCACTTGATATTTAACACCTCACAAGCGCTTAAGCACAACAAACAATTTGAAATGAAATAGATGCTGAGAAGAAGTTTAAAAGTTACGTCTTTATTGTCGTATTTCTAGATTTCCAATAGAGAATTAAACCGTGTACGCTGTTACAGAATTTATGATATGCTTTAACGTATTAGAGCCGTATATGGACGTATGGTTTTAATAACCGTTTTCTGCTATAATTCCTCAAAAGATGGAGGCACATGTTTTAATTTGTGTTTATTTTGAAATTTATTTGCTATAAAAATGCAATTGTTCATCTAAACAGCTGTGTTTTTATATCATTATATACTATATATAGGACAAGAGATCGAATATATTTAAACAGAAATATTAAAACATTTATTGAAAAATTCAAAATTTTAAATCAAAAACTCTTAAAAATTCACACTTGATATAACTTTATAAATAACAACAATTAAAAATTCGTTTAATTCTCTATGAATTTTTTTCATATCCTTTACTATTCTCGTTTAATGTATCGTTGAAAAATTTCTAATATTCGTAGGTGCATTAAAAAACTTAAAAAAAAATTACTGACTGCCTCCCAGTTCGTCCTCATATTGTTTTCTGAAGCAGTCACCAACGGGGAAGAAGTCCCAACATCGTTGTTGATACATATTCCAAACGTACGTCTCCTGACCCGTATATTCCGTGTCCGGTTTATTAATCAAGTGCATAAGGAAGAACATGTAATTTGCCAGATTATGCTCTTGAGCTACGTGCTGTAGAAAAATTATCATCAATTAATAAATAGTCTATAAAAAACATTTAAATGCACTTACTGTATCAAAGCCGTGCGGTACTTTATCAAAGTAATCTTTTCCAATACCACAGATGAAGCAATTAGACTCCATGTCTTCTTTCACCGATTCAAGTTGATCACGAAGCTCACCGAAAGCATCAATAATCAAACCCTGAATGATAGCCAACAAGATAACAATAACGAAGAAGAAGAATGTGATATCAAATATGATACGATAAACTTCATAGTCATCTCCATCTGGGTCTCCAATTTCATCACCGATGCCACCACCCGCACGAACACCTGAAAAATTATAATTTTACAGTATTTGATTCATCAATTGAATTTTCACGCTTTGTTACCTTTATACAAGTGGAACACAAAGCACGTTAACATGTCATGACATTTCTTATCAACCTCGTCCTCTTCTTCTTGGATATAAAATTTACGGAAGAAATTGAAGGCGATGACGGTGTAAATATACACAATAATAGTAAGCAGCATGACAGTCAACACCAGTTGCTTTCCATTGTGTGTTACTGACTGCAAAATAGTTCTCAATGTTTTAAAACCAACAGCGACATCCAACAAGTGAGCAGCAAAGAAGAAGTTATTAAAATTTCCCAAGATTGAAAAGGTAAAGTACCAAAGTGAATACAAGAATGAGTTATCCGTAATTGTTACACCAGCTTTCCATACTTGATATCTCCAATCAATATTCAAAATAAAGTGAATAAGTCCTCCACTTTCACTTACTTCTTGAGTTCCAAATGCGGTCTTTTCCATTCCAAGCAAGTTTGATATTGAGTCAAAATCGTATGTCTCACTGTACTTTTGTCGAACCTTTTTCTTGACAAATTTATCCCAGTAATTCACAGGGAAGCTAAAATAATAAATAAAATTTTACTTACACAAAAATCTAGAATTTCACCGATTTAATACCTCTTTGAACTAATAACAAGTTTGTCCCAATGTGATTTTATATCATCATCTTCTGGTTGTTCAGCAATAAAGAGTCCATCAAATTCCAACCGACGTGCAATTTCCTTTTCGCGTTTGAAAATAGCCAATGGTACTTTCAAGTGATAGTAAGCAATCAACATACATAAAGAAACCAAACTATGCAGAGCTGCAGCGCATCTCATAACATGCTCTATATAAACTTCATCTACTTGTACTAACTCTAGCGGATCTTCTTCTTCTTCACCACCCGAACCTTCTGCACTACCGAGATCTATACCAGCACCTGATCCAGATCCTCCAGATCCATCAATGCTACCCAAATCACTATCTCCAGAGCCTTCAGTTTCTTCTCCAAATGTTGTTACTCTATAGAACAGAAGCATAAAATTGATGCAGAAAGCCAACACAAGAGCAACATATTTAAGAGTATAAAAGTTTCGTGCTAAGAAACTGACTGCTTTATGAGCATACTGTGAGAAATCAATTTGATTGACAGCAGCAGGTTCAGTTGTATTTTGAGATTGTTTTCTATTCTCTGATTCGATACTAGCCATAGCAGCCTCCTGTACTTTTTGAGCTTCTGATCTTTCTTTTTCTGCTGCTTTAGCTGCCTCACCACCTAAAAGATCTTGAAGTGTCATTGGTGGCTCGATATGCACTTCAGAATCAGTTGACTCTCCTTGTTCTTCAGGAGACGATCCTTCTGCACTACCATCTTCCTTTTTACTCAAACTTGCTGCTTCTGTTCCTCCTTCTTCTTTTGTCGTTTCCATAGGCGGCGTACTTGATCGTTCATCTGGTAAAGGTGGCAGTGCTAGTGTCGGTAAACTTTCAATTTCCGGAATAAGTGGCATTTCTTCTTCTTCTACTGCAGGTCCTCTCATTAAGTTCATTAAAATATTAAAGAAATAGCGTAAAATTGCATAAAATCCGTAACCAGTGTAATAGAAAGCATAAAATATTAGTTTAAAGAATCCAACAATCAATTCAGGAATTGATTTAGTTTGCATAACACCAATTTGATGCTTAATATTAGTTGGACTAAATAAGAAAGCAAGCTGCTTTAATCCGTCTTTTGTTGCTTGTATAGTTTTTCTAATTGGATCCCTATTAGCCTTTTCTTCATCTTCTTCACTTATATATGAACTATAGGAAGCTTCTCTTCTAGTGCTACCACTTTTCTCATCGGTTGCCATAATTTCTGAAGCATGAGTCATTTCAAAGATTGCATCTTCGCAGAAATTAACAAAAGCTTCCAATTTTTCTTTGTCACCTCCTTCAGTAACAATTGAATAGAAGAATGCTCGTTTTGATTCTTTGATCTGAGGTTTTTCCCATTGCTCAATATTTGATTCCTTAATTTCAAAGTAAACTCGTTCAATTTTCTTCGATGATCCCAAAATCTCAATTCTGCCCAAGAATGGTTCAAAATAGTTAAGAACTGAACTTGCAGTTTCTAAGAATCTGGCAAGTCTGAAAAATCAAAACCAATTTTAGTAATTGTCAAGCAAGAATGAACAACTGAAATTTTACCTAGGCTCATTTGGCATGTGTTCTGATAAGTTTGTAAGCAATACAGCTAAATTGAAACCAATTTCCTTGGCTGGCTCATGGAAACGATCACAGAAACCGATATAGTCAATCTTTCCATCATGGTTTACTTCACAGCAAGCTATAATTTTAAAATGAAGGAATTACGTTACAGTTTGTGGATATAAAAATAAAACTCCTGATTTACCAATCATAAAATCGATTTCCTCAGGGGTGTAGCTCTTTTGCTGCTCCATTTTATCTCTGAAGTCTTTGGGCAATACCCAACCATCAGCATTTGGATCTATTTCCATGAAACTTGGAGATGAAATTAAATCTTTTACTTTAAGGAACATATCAAAGTATTTCAAAATTAATTCTACGTTAGATGCAGATTCAACCAATGTGTCAACCATCTGTTTACCAATGGTACCATTTACAACATTTCCTTCCAACATGGAGAGCATCATTGTAATCATGTCTTTTTGTAAATTTAAAAGTTCTTTTAATAAATCAACTTGTGATGAATGCTTTGAAAGTTTTTCTTGCATGTGACTGAACAAGAATAAGAAACCTCCTACAGCATCCCACAATCTTGAATGTGCCAAAGCTTGTTGATTTTGTGTACATGGACCTTGAATAACTTCAGTAAGTGTGTTAAAGACCTGACTAGCAACACCAATAGCTTTGAAGAAATTAATTTTTCCTGCTGGGTCAATCAACTCTTTGCTTGAATAATGCCAATAAAAGTCCATGATAGATTCTTGCAGACGTAGAAGGTAATCGACAGTGCAAATGACAACATTTACTGTTGTGGTATTACCAGCTTGTGTTCTCAAATAATTTTGCCATTCTAAGTTGTGACCTTCACAAGTCAATTGAATGAAACGGAATAATGCACATGTAAACTCTGCATCATGCATATTCTTTTCACCAGCAGCACCTGAAACAGATATTAATTACTCAGTTAGAGTTACTTTAAGATCAGCAGAATTATACCTTCTGATCCAACACCAAGACCCTCAGCTTTAGTATTTCTTTCGAAAGCATCCAGGTCAAGTACACTGCATGAATTCATTAAACCAGCAATGGATGTGAAAAATCCAACATCCTTCTTTTCTTTCAGGTGATTTAACATTCTCATTTGAATATCAATGTTACCTCCTCTAAGGACAGCAATACCCAATTCCAAAGTCTTTATAACCATATCAGATGGTACACCTTTAGATGCACTAATATGAAGCAACACCATTTCAGCTACTCCTCGATTAGCTAAGCGAGCTTGATGGAACAAAAGTTTTTGTTTCTCCATTTCTTGTTCCTGTAAGAGAATCAAATGATGTAATTTACTGTTCTATTCAATTAATACTGATTTAACTTACATGAATGCTAGCACCACCTTCTTCTTCAGCTCTGTAAAAAAGAATAAATATTGGTAAAGTGCATAAATTATGCTGCATAATTTCTTACTCATTCTCTTCCTCCTCTCCGCCTTCTTCTTCCTCTTCACCACAAGATTTGGCAATAATTTCAGCATATGACATATAAAGAGGATCCTCTTGTAGAGCACCCGATCTTTCTGTCATTGCACCACGACAGAAAGTAGTGATAAGTTGTGTTAATGGATCAGGTTTTCCTTCCTCTTCTTCATCTTCCTTTTTCTTTTTTTCCGAATCCTCAAAAGATTGCTGAAAATTTTCACAAAATAAGGTTTAATCCTGAAAGATATTTTGAATACTTACCGTAAGATCTTCAATCATAACTTCTTGTCCTGTATTCTCTTCTTGAAGCCACAAATCCTTGTATGTCTTTGCAAATATATTACATGCCCGATGTCTATAAAGTTTGAAACGAAATGATTATTTGGTCTTAGATTAACAAACTGCATCTTGCAAAAAATTAAGGTATTTGACTATACAAAATATTTTGACTATGTGGTTAGTAAGGACATTCCTTAATATTCCAAATCATTAGTTAAAGAAAACTTCTTAAACAAAAAGGCATGTTTTCCAACAAGATTAGTTTTCAGCTTACATCAATGTTGAATCAAGAGCTTAGTTTTGTATAAAGTCTACACATACTTAATAAAATCTATGATCCATTTGACATACACGTGTTTGAAACGCGATGTAATAATTTTTGACTTAAATTCCAATTGGCAACATGAAGTAGATGAGACAAAAGTTAGATTAGAATACTTTGAGAAATACTTCACAAAACTGAACATTTCATTTCGTGTGCTTTACCATAGAATAAAATGTTATTACAACAATGTTCTACTACAACAAGAGAAAATATAGAAGCTTCATTTCTTCTACCTTTGAAGTCGATATAAAGGTTTAGCTCGGAGACAAGTTATAGCAAGTTTTTTTCTTGCTGCTGAAACTCTTTTTTTCATTGTTTGAATTGTGGACTTTGTTGTAGCCTGGTTCATGTAAATAAAAATATCTTTAAGTATATCTATACAATGTTATTAGGATTAGTAATTTTCAATCATGACACTCTCAAATCAAAATTAACTTCTTATGAATTAAGCAGTATTAATATCAAAAATTTGCTCAAAAAAGGAGAATAAACGCAATCATATAAAATCTACTGTGCTCGACCTTGGCAATGAGTGTAAAGAAGTTTGTCTGAAACATGCGATTACAACTCGCTTCCTCTGAATGCTAACGACACTATGATAAACGTTTTTACTCTGTTGTTGTGGATGGTCAATCTAAATACGATGATTGTAAAATTTTGTAAAATAAATTTAAAAATCTTTTCGGATGTCGAATTCATTGAGAACTTTTAAAATGTTTTAGAATATTTGAATAAGTAACTGTAAATAAAACAATATCCTTAACTATTGAAGAATTTGCATTAAATGAAACATGTGAAATACTTCAAAGAGATTAAAGTCTACTGAAAATTTGAAACAAAAAGTTATATGATGAACATTAACATACCATGTGCAATCCAAACAAAACTTTCGCCATTGCTACAATTCTTTCCACTGTTTCTTCAATTTTTTTCTCTTCTCCTTTCTTTTCTGCAGCAGTTACTTTTTCATTAGTTTCTTCAAGTGGATGCTCATGTTTCTTTCCCAATTTTGAATAAAGGTAGTGCTGCCAGCTCATCTCATCAGCTGGATCGAGCTTATCTGGTAAAGTTAATTGAATACGTGCAAATTCTACAACTTCGTATTCAGGCAGTTTCTGAAAAAGTTTCAAATATAAACGTCAATGACTAAGTACGGCTTATTTCAATAAGTTACCTTTAAATATCTATCTTTACAATGTTGAACTAATTCTTGTTCGCGACCAGCAAATAGATTCAAACCAACGGGCAGTAGACGTTTTAAACAAGCAACCATTAAACTTGCTTGAATTTCCTTATCTTTGTCTCGCTTCTTATCTCTGTTCTTTTTCTTTTTCTTTATTTTTCCACCACTTTGTGGTTGTTGCCCTTCAACTGATGCTGCTGAGCGTCTTGAGGCAGTTGGCATTATAAGTGCCATATTGTCAATTTCATTTGCGCTAATAAAGTTTTGCTCTTCCTTTAAGAAGTACTGACTCTTTGACCAAATATTAAATATTTCAGCTACAGAATTATAAAGTTCTTCTGCTTCAATTATATTGTTCTTTAGCCAATGATTTCTTTGTAAATCAACATATTTAATAAGCAGCGGATAGAAAGAGTAAATATCTCGAACGAGGAGTTGCCAATCTTCTTGAATTTGCGACTCTATTTGAGATGTATCATCTGTAGATGATTTTAAGAAACCTCTCAAACTTTCTTCTTTGTGGAACATATTTTCAACACGTTTCTTGACTCTTTCAGCTAAAGGCAAGAATGGATCTTTAAGAAGTTCTTCGGAACTATTGATAATAATTTGTTGAGTGTATGCTGCAATTCTTGTCATCCAAGGTGCATTCTCATTTCCAATATTCTTCTTAATAAGTTTTAAGACGTGCTTGAGCAACTGATTCATATGATCAGCTGTGATCATTGTGACATGATTTCCAGATGTTGGATTAACATTATCAGGTCCTTGATTCCACCAGAATGGAAGATATGAACACAATAATGGCATGATCACATCAATGACATGTTGAGCTTCTTGATAACTCTTTTCTGATTCAACATACTGTTCCACTTCATGCATTACAGCTTCTAGTGTTGGCATTGAACTATCCATCTTTGACATTATATCTTGAGCTTCTAAAGAATGATCAGCAATTCGATTCAAGAGTGAAAATGGATTATTCTTATTTGAATGTGGTTCCAAAAATGCTACAGGAAACGTAGAACTGAAGGCTCCCAAGCACGAACCCAAAGCTGGTTTATGTCTCTCAAATTCTGTTTTAAGATATTTTCGATCATGACTTAGTGTGTTATCAGTACCCAAAGTATACAATGCTAACAGAATTTTATATGAAGCTACTTGGATTTCATCAACTAAAAGATAAAGCAAGAATTAATTAAGACAATTTTCAAAATAATGTTAATGTATACTTACGCAAGAATTCGTTTCCATACTCGCATGATGCTAAATGATCAAACATTGCTGTCAAAACTGGTAATATAACTTGATGGACATATTGTAAAGACGTAGAGGTTTTTAAATGTGTTCCTCTTAAATGGCTATATTTTCCATCCACTAAGTTCATAATTGTATGACCTAAATCATCAGCAGCATTATTAAAGAACGTCAACATAGATGTACGAATAAATTCAGGACAATTTCTGACAAGTGATTTTGCATCAATACTTTTAACAAGCACTTGTAAGCAACGGACTGTTATACGAATATCAGCTCCGAAAGCAGTGAGTCTATTACGCAAAAGATTTGCTAGTTTACAGAACAAAGCAGCAACCATTTCCTTTTCTTTAAGAGATGCTGCTCCAATATTATTAGTGGCAGTTGCAATTGCAATAAAGTAGTTGCGGTGAGTTGAGAAATATTTTTCCATCAATGGCAAAACTACTTTAGAGAAGAACTTAATGTCCCGAGAGCTGGTCTTGAATGAAGATCGTCGACTGAATATTGAAGAAGGCTTAAGTAATTTCATATTAACCGTAGCCTTATCAAGATAGTTGATCAGTTTTAGCAATAAGGAATATGCAAATCTTGATTCAATTGCAGCTTGAATATTGGCTAATTCTGAATCTCCAGTTCCTTTTGATGGCCTTAAATATTAAAATAATTTTTGATTAAAACACTACTTAGTTTAATAAATAAAACAATTCCTACTTGTGGAGCTTATATCCTTGATATTGCAAATATTTAAGGAATTCTTGTGATCGTTCTCTGTCCTTCTTCTTTTCCTTGTCAGTGAGGAGATCATAAGGAACCAATTGTGGATGAATGCTTCCTCCACATGTTGACAGTTCCTCCATTTTTTTACGAGCCCAAATATCATGAGCATTTTCAGCTAATCGTTCTGCCATGTTTTGCATTTCTCTGCTCAATGTTAAGTTTGTCATATCAACCGGATGTGGATGATAATTGAATGGAGATGATGAATCTTGAGAATGCGCTTCCTGTGATAGAAGAAATTGGTTGATTTTAAAAGATTAAATATGATTGATTATTATTAACTTACTGGTTTTGATGATCTTCGAATTGATCCTCTTGAGGAACCAGGCAGGTCTGATTCTGAGTGTTCCACTGTCCATCCAAGAGCCAAAAGAGCTTTTAAGCTTTCTCTAACGGGATCCTTGTATCTTTCCTTTTCCTAAAAATCAGAGATTATTTGTTTTGTGAATTAAGGAATAATAATTTATTTTTCAAAATCGATGCATACATATTCATTCAGCATGTTATAAGGCTTTAATCGAGGATGATTCTTTTGTGAATCTGACCATTGATCTCCAAAGACCCATCCGTTTTCTAACTTTCTTGATGCCCATGCATCATGATAATGTTCACTAAACTTTTGAATGATCGTGTTAAGATCAGTGTTTAAGTTAATGCTGATAGTCATAATTGGTTGTGGATTATATTGTGGTTGATCTGGTCCTCCACCTGTTGGTTTGCCATACAAATCGTCATCTGAATTTTGAGACAAACTGTAATCAGGTGGCAGTGCACATCCAATAGCAATTAAACAAGGAAGTGCCTTTCCGAATAGTTCTGGTTCATAATCCATGTTACTTAAAGAATCAAAGATGTTTGAGAACAACAACATTGTCAAGCGTTTTTCTTCATCTGAAGAAGTACCATAAGATCCTTGACCTGAAGTTGATCCGTAGTATTTTGCACAGCGTTCGTAATGCAAAGTCAAAAGCTAGATATAAAGAAAACCATCAGTACTTATTACCTTTTTAAATTGATCAATAAAAGAGTATACTTACTCTCAATGCAACAGTAGTGTATTCTGAGAGTTTTGAGACATCAACTGTAAGCTTTCTCAGAAGTTTTAGAAGCATAGCTGGCTGCATAGCTGTGGTTAGAGCAACCAAGAAGTCTGAAACAGCTTCACGTTGTCCTTTTGTAAGCATTCTGTTCTTAGAAAGACGATAAACTGTATGCAATGTTGCATCTAAAAGTGATGCATAGTTTTCAGCTTCATTATAAAATCTTGAGTGCTTAATAAGCACAGGCAAAATTGAATTTCCAATATAACGGTTCATTGATAAAGCCATGTCACTTTCAGATCCATCACATCTATCTAACATTGTGGCAACGCGAAGATCAGGCAAGAATGCATCTTCCAATAATTTGTAGAACAATTCTTGTGTCTCTATGCCATAAACTCTTTCCAAGAACATAACAATACTTTGTTTATGTCCGGGAATCAATCCTGATGGTATATCAGATTTTGGACGTTCTTCTCCTGCTGCTGGATTAGTGAGTGTAAACTTTAAACTCAACACACCTTGCAAATCTTCTAGAGGAACTAGTGAACGTAAAATAGCTCTGGCACGAAGTGATTCGTTCTTTCCAAGCTCAATTACACTAGCATCTGGTGCACATCTTCCAAGTAAATCAACTAACGTACAATAAAATGCTAAAATTGCTGCTCCAGTATCGATATAGTCTTCATCATCGTCACTTTCAGGAAGTGGATGATTAAAAGCCATATTCATTTGTCCTTCTGCTTCATCTTGAAGTTTACGTCTGTCTGATATTCTTTCTGACATTTTGTTGGCTTCAATAATTGCCTTCAAAAGACCTTCACCTTCACCACGAAGAGCAGGTCCAAGACATTCTGGTCGACGAATCAACAATCTAATTACAAGATTGGCATTTTCTTCAACACTTTCACCATTTACCCATACACAGAAACGTAAAAAGTCAAGGAATCTTTCACCTTCAACAGGATCCCAACCTAAATCTGGATATCCCTTTTCGACTAATTCAGAATTACTTTGCAAACCACATCTTGATAAATAAATTGCAATCTTTTCAAGATAATGCTCACGGAGAGCAAGAGCTAATTCTGTATTTTCCATCAAACTTGAGTAAGCAACATCAAGTGGTGTTGAACCTCTTAAACTTGGTCTTGACAGTAAAATATTTGAATTTTCTAGCAAAAAGTCAAAGTGATCGAACATAGCCTTTTGATTTTGTCTTCCTGTACGACAGAAATAGCACAAAAATCTACAACAAGCTACAACCATTTCATGAGATGTATCTTTCTCTTTCACAGGAGCTTCATTTCCTTCGCCAGCATTCACGGGTGAATCACTTTGAGCTTGAGCTCTTCTTCCTAAAGTGTTCATCATTACTGCCATAACGTTTTCATGAACTCTCAAAACTCTGATTAAATCAGGATGCTGGAAGAAAGTATGATTGTTGACTAATTTCCACAATCTCTTTCTCATCAGCTCTTCCTCTTCTTGACACATTTGTACAGGCAATAATGCACGAATTTGACTCAATCCAACCCACATGTTGGCGACATCATCTTTTGTCTTTGCATTAATAACATATGTTTTTTCAAGAGCTCTAATAAGTTCACCAACTGTATCATACTGTCGCACAAGAAGCCCAAACATTTCACGAACCAATCGTGGTGTTTCAATTTGTGATTCTTCAGCCCATGATACTATGGTCTTGATTAAAACTTTACGAAAGATTTCTTCGGGTGTCTTTTTCTCAGGCTCTTCATTAGCTTTTCCTTCTTCTTCCATTTCCTTTACGGCATTGATTAAATTATATAACTTTTTCATTGCACCTTGTTTTTCAGCTAATGCATCAGTTTCAGGTGCTTCAGGTTCAACTAAGGCATTCAAAGATACTTTTTGCATCAATTGTTCATGGAACTCATTCAATTTTTCGCGTAAATCTCCTCCACATGTTGCATTGTCCTCATCCTCTTCCAAGTTTTTGAAATTGAGAATTGCATTCATTTGTTCTCTTGGTGGACAACGGAACTCTCTTGTTTTCTTAGCAGCCACTGCACTTGGCAAATCAGACTGTTTAATTTCTATATAACGTCTAAGCTGATCCGTTTGCAAATCTCCAACAAAATCATGCGAAAATGCTATGATACTTTCTGTGCGATGGCGCAATTGCATATCACACAAATGATGAAGCAAGTAGCACATTTGAAGTTTAGCTCCTTCTGCCATCTTCATTGTCAACAAACCTTTACGGTGTTCATCTTTACCCTCTGTAGAGATTACCATAGAGATTATTAAATTAAGTATGAATGAATGACTTGAGTTTAAGACGTTTAAGTATGTGACTTAAAGTTTATACCTTTATTAAATGTATAATCCCATGTTTCAGGATCAATCATAACAAGTAATTTCTGTACGTCATCATCAGTGAGTACACCGACCAGCAATAATCTGTCAGTTAGCTTAATCAATGGTCTTCAAAAGAAAATATATTAAATAAATGAAAAAATTTAAATTAAAATGAATTGAATTATCTTACAAGAACAAGTTTTCATTTGAGCCTCCAATAGGATCACGGTTGTGAACTTGATTTATGTCTACTGCTTCTTGTATAGCTCCCATAACAAATTCCCTTACAACTTCAAGTGGGAATTTCGGTGAATATAATTGATCGATGACTGGGATCGGCTCACTGCTTGAATATTTAAACAGTATTATTAAATGACCATAAACATTAAAGTATTATCAAAATGTGACAAAATAATGCACATTTGAAATTTATTTCATGTTTTAATTATTAAGTCTTTTAAGTTTTAAGTTCCTTGTTAGCATAAATTGTTCGCTCGACAATAACTTTTTACAATTTTTTTCATTAATGTTAAATTTTAGGTGCTTGTCTTGATTTTATTATATTCACACCATTTTCACGTGTGAATCTATTGGTTTTGTTCAGATTGAAAAATCAGTTTTTTGAATTTTGTGAGGATATGGAACAAGATAACTTAAAATGTTCAGAAATGAAAAGTTTGTGCCTTAAATTTCACATCTTTTGCAAAAAACAGATTTCAAATTGGTTGCGGCATTGCTGAGAAAATCGCAAAATACGCTTTCTGTAAGCAAGCAAACCAGCAAACAAGCATGCAAGTTAATCAGAGAGACTTCTAGTTTATTACATTTGATCCGTGCTGCTCTAAAGAAGAGCTGAATTGTGTTTGGGCAAGGTAGGAACAGCCGTTGCTTCAGAAAAAGCAAAAAAACTTTCCTTTCTTACAAATTTTTCAAATTAAAAGTTCACTGTGATTTTTTTTAAATTAAACTTTAGATGAAAAAAATTTTTTGAGCAAAGAATCAAGAAGGAAATACATTTTCAATTTTTAACTAGGGGCGACCCAAGAAAAAATCATCAGAAAAATTTATCCTCGAAGAAAAAAAAGTGAAAAACTAGATTTTGACTAGGGTCGCACCTAGTCCAAAATTGAAAATGTATTTCCTTCTTGGTTCTTTGAAAATAAAAATTAAGAATGTTTTATTTGTATTTGTTTTAAGCACCTGAATATTTATGCAAAGTTTCAATCCATTTGGATAAACCCTCAAAGAAAAAAGTGACAAAATTGATTTTGACTAGGGTCGCACCTAGTCCAAAATTGAAAATGTATTTCTTTCTTGGTTCTTTGCTCAAAAAAGTTTTAGGATGTTTTATTTGTATTTGTTTTAAGCACTAGAATTTTTATGCAAAATTTCAATCCATTTGGATAAACCCTCGAAGAAAAAAGTGACAAAATTGATTTTGACTAGGGTCGCCCCTAGTCCAAAATTGAAAATGAATTTCCTACTTGGTTCTTTGCTCAAAAAAATTTTAAGATGTTTTATTTGTATTTGTTATAAGCACTAGAATATTTATGCAAAGTTTCAATCCATTTGTATAAACCCTCGAAGAAAAAAGTGACAAAATTGATTTTGACTAGGGTCGCCCCTAGTCCAAAATTGAAAATGTATTTCCTACTTGGTTCTTTGCTCAAAAAAATTTCAGGATGTTTTATTTGTATTTTTTTTAAGCATTTGAATATTAATGCAAAGTTTTAATCCATTTGTATAAACCCTCGAAGAAAAAAGTGACAAAATTGATTTTGACTAGGGTCGCCCCTAGTCCAAAATTGAAAATGTATCTTGGTTTTTTGCTCAAAAAAATTTAAGATGTTTTATTTCTATTTGTTTTAAGCATTAGAATATTTATGCAAAGTTTCAATCCATTTGTATAAACCCTCGAAGAAAAAAGTGACAAAATTGATTTTGACTAGGGTCGCACCGAGTCTAAAATTAAAAATGTATTTCCTTCTTGGTTCTTTGCTCAAAAAAGTTTTAGGATGTTTTATTTGTATTTGTTTTAAGCACTTGAATTTTTATGCAAAGTTTCAATCCATTTGGATAAACCCTCGAAGAAAACAGTGACAAAATTGATTTTGACTAGGGTCGCCCCTAGTCCAAAATTGAAAATGTATTTCCTACTTGGTTCTTTGCTCAAAAAAATTTTAAGATGTTTTATTTGTATTTGTTTTAAGTACTGAAATATTTATGCAAAGTTTCAATCCATTTGTATAAACCCTCGAAGAAAAAAGTGACAAAATTGATTTTGACTAGGGTCGCCCCTAGTCCAAAATTGAAAATGTATTTCCTACTTGGTTCTTTGCTCAAAAAAATTTTAGGATGTTTTATTTGTATTTTTTTTAAGCATTTGAATATTAATGCAAAGTTTTAATCCATTTGTATAAACCCTCGAAGAAAAAAGTGACAAAATTGATTTTGACTAGGGTCGCCCCTAGTCCAAAATTGAAAATGTATTTCCTACTTGGTTCTTTGCTCAAAAAAATTTTAGGATGTTTTATTTGTATTTGTTTTAAGCATTTGAATATTAATGCAAAGTTTTAATCCATTTGTATAAACCCTCGAAGAAAAAAGTGACAAAATTGATTTTGACTAGGGTCGCCCCTAGTCCAAAATTGAAAATGTATCTTGGTTTTTTGCTCAAAAAAATTTAAGATGTTTTATTTCTATTTGTTTAAAGCATTAAAATATTTATGCAAAGTTTCAATCCATTTGTATAAACCCTCGAAGAAAAAAGTGACAAAATTGATTTTGACTAGGGTCGCCCCTAGTCCAAAATTGAAAATGTATTTCCTACTTGGCTCTTCTCAAAAAAATTTTAGGATGTTTTATTTGTATTTGTTTTAAGGACTAGAATTTTCATGCAAAGTTTCAATCCATTTGGATAAAGCCTCGAAGAAAAAAGTGACTAGGGTCGCCCATAGTCCAAAATTGAAATTGTATTTCCTACTTGGTTCTTTGCTCAAAAAAATTTTAAGATGTTTTATTTGTTTTTGTTTTAAGCATAAAAATATTTATGCAAAGTTTTAATCCATTTGGATAAACCATCAAAGAAAAAAGTGAGAAAATTGATTTTGACTAGGGTCGCCCCTAGTCCAAAATTGAAACTGTATTTCCTACTTGGTTCTTTGCTCAAAAAAATTTTAGGATGTTTTATTTGTATTTGTTTTAAGGACTAGAATTTTCACGCAAAGTTTCAATCCATTTGGATAAAGCCTCGAAGAAAAAAGTGATTTTGGTCGACCCTAGTCCAAAATTGAAAATGTATTTCCTTCTTGGTTCTTTGCTCAAAAAAATTTTAGGATGTTTTATTTGTATTTGTTTTAAACACTTGAATTTTTAAGCAAAGTTTTAATCCATTTGTATATACCCTCGAAAAAAAAAGTTACAAAATTGATTTTGACTAGGGTCGCCCCTAGTCCAAAATTGAAAATGTATTTCCTACTTGGTTCTTTGCTCAAAAAAATTTTAGGATGTTTTATTTGTATTTGTTTTAAGCACTAGAATTTTTATGCAAAGTTTCAATCCATTTGGATAAAGCCTCGAAGAAATAAGTGATTTTGGTCGACCCTAGTCCAAAATTGAAAATGTATTTCCTACTTGGCTCTTTTCTCAAAAAAATTTTAAGATGTTTTATTTGTATTTGTTTTAAGCACTAGAATATTTATGCAAAGTTTCAATCCATTTGGATAAACCTTCGAAGAAAAAAGTGACAAAATTGATTTTGACTAGGGTCGCCCCTGGTCCAAAATTGAAAATGTATTTCCTACTTGGCTCTTTTCTCAAAAAAATTTTAAGATGTTTTATTTGTATTTGTTTTAAGCACTAGAATATTTATGCAAAGTTTCAATCCATTTGGATAAACCCTCGAAGAAAAAAGTGACAAAATTGATTTTGACTAGGGTCGCCCCTAGTCCAAAATTGAAAATGTATTTCCTACTTGGTTCTTTGCTCAAAAAATTTTTAGGATTTTTTATTTGTATTTGTTTTAAGCACCAAAATGTTTATGCAAAGTTTCAATCCATTTGGATAAATCATCAAAGAAAAAAGTGACAAAATTGATTTTGACTAGGGTCGCCCCTAGTCCAAAATTGAAAATGTATTTCCTTCTTGGTTCTTTGCTTAAAAAAATTTTAGGATATTTTATTTGTATTTGTTTTAAACACTTGAATTTTTAAGCAAAGTTTCAATCCATTTGTATAAACCCTCGAAGAAAAAAGTTACAAAATTGATTTTGACTAGGGTCGCCCCTAGTCCAAAATTGAAAATGTATTTCCTACTTGGTTCTTTGCTCAAAAAATTTTAGGATGTTTTATTTGTATTTATTTTAAGGACTAGAATTTTCATGCAAAGTTTCAATCCATTTGTATAAACCCTCGAAGAAAAAAGTTAAAATTGATTTTTACTAGGGTCGCCCCTAGTCCAAAATTGAAAATGTATTTCCTACTTGGTTCTTTGCTCAAAAAAATTTTAAGATGTTTTATTTGTATTTGTTTTAAGCACCAAAATGTTTATGCAAAGTTTCAATCCATTTGGATAAATCATCAAAGAAAAAAGTGAGAAAATTGATTTTGACTAGGGTCGCCCATAGTCCAAAATTGAAAATGTATTTCCTACTTGGTTCTTTGCTCAAAAAATTTTAGGATGTTTTATTTGTATTTGTTTTAAGGAGTAGAATTTTCATGCAAAGTTTCAATCCATTTGGATAAAGCCTCGAAGAAAAAAGTGATTTTGGTCGACCCTAGTCCAAAATTGAAAATGTATTTCCTTCTTGGTTCTTTGCTCAAAAAAATTTTAGGATGTTTTATTTGTATTTGTTTTAAACACTTGAATTTTTAAGCAAAGTTTCAATCCATTTGTATAAACCCTCGAAAAAAAAAGTTACAAAATTGATTTTGACTAGGGTCGCCCCTAGTCCAAAATTGAAAATGTATTTCCTACTTGGTTCTTTGCTCAAAAAAATTTTAGGATGTTTTATTTGTATTTGTTTTAAGCACTAGAATTTTTATGCAAAGTTTCAATCCATTTGGATAAAGCCTCGAAGAAATAAGTGATTTTGGTCGACCCTAGTCCAAAATTGAAAATGTATTTCCTACTTGGTTCTTTGCTCAAAAAATTTTAGGATGTTTTATTTGTATTTGTTTTAAGGAGTAGAATTTTCATGCAAAGTTTCAATCCATTTGGATAAAGCCTCGAAGAAATAAGTGATTTTGGTCGACCCTAGTCCAAAATTGAAAATGTATTTCCTACTTGGCTCTTTTCTCAAAAAAATTTTAGGATGTTTTATTTGTATTTGTTTTAAGCACTAGAATA